TGTCACGGTTCCTGCCTTACCTGGAAGTAAGGTCACGTGGGTTGGTATGGTAGATGAAGTAAAGTCGGCAATAGTATTGAAGTCAAGAATAATAATCAAGTTGAGCACGAGCTCCTATCTAACGAGTGAAGTTGAGTGGTTATATAGTTTCTCCGTGTGCTGGAGTCCGTCTTTCCCTGGAGTCCAGGAGTCCCGGGGAGTCCATCAGACTCCCTCGGACTCCATCACGTGATCAGGTTCCCCCGCTTACTGGGCCTATGGCCCATGGGTCCCGTGATCGTGACACCTTGGTTTATTAATTAGTTGTGTAAGCTCGAGCTGTGGTATTTGTGGTTTTCTTAGAGATTTTTATTGACTATGTTAAAAGCGAAATATCTAAGTATGGAAGTGGAGAGGTCGAGCGAAGGGAGGGGATATGGAATTAAGAGAGCTCTGGAATGGTGGTGAGTGTTAAAAGATGCACTTTTGGTCGTGCTGAATACTCGAAAGCTGTGAGCGCAAGAAGTTTGATGTGATATTTAGTTTCAACTGTTGCACGCTCAAATTTTCGGGGCTTATGGCCAAAATTACAAGGAGTAAACGGTGAGATTCAGGATCTACCTAGGTGTAAAGTACCCCTCATTCAAGCGAAGCTAACCGAGTGCAACCTCGCCCCCTTTGCGCACTGCTGGCAGATATTTCACCTTCTTTGATACTATCATATTATTAACTCAATACCTATAGCAAAGAAAGCCCGTCTCAGTGTTCATTACATCCGATACGTGCATATCAGGTGCAAATTTGCCCATTGGAAGTACATCTTGCAACGATGCTCGATCCTCGGAGCCATGCCGTGCTTTGCCGGCATAGTCACTTAGTCGCACCAGCGGGTCTCTCTGCTGCCACATCCACCACAGCCGATCTAGTTGGCTGAATTTGTGCCATTAGCAAATTTCAAATCCTGTGTCCAGTGGCTCATACCTGTGATGCAGAAAGAAGACCGGATCATTCGGTGCGGTGAACTTAATGAAGTCACCTCTGATGCCGTTCGGAATCTGGTCATGTGGACCCTTCTCAAGCTTCATGAAAAAGCTCTCAAAGTCTGGCTGTCGGAGAATCTCATCAATAGCCGCCGGCTGGACTTTGTCTCCTGGTAAACGGCCATGAACGTCTCCGTCAGCGAAACCCCGTGATAGGCAGTGGATATGATCGTCAGAGTTGAAAAATGGCAGGGCGAGGTCAGAAAATGGGCCGTCAGTGACACAATGTCCGTTTCCGACGGAATTTGGAGCGGTTGGATTGCCGTCACCACCGAAGCCGGTGGTGTTAGAGAATACTGGAGAGTTGGCCAGAGCTTCCCTGACAGTGTTAGCTGTGACCATCATACTCGATACGGAGATTAGAGGTAAGTGATCTCTTACCAGTCAAGGCTCCAGTCCCAATAACTGCATATAGCATTAGCCTATGTATCATTGAAGGACTGATGGTATCTCACGTCAAGCTACCAGTGTAGCCGCATGTGGTTCTCAACTCTGTTTCATAGAGATGAAGGAGATAACGGTGCCAAGAGAGAAATGCCGCTGCTCCGTGGGCTGCAGAGTATGGTGTTAGTCTTCGGCGCCCAAGAAAACTTGCAGGCATAGTTACAATATCCCCCGATCTGATTATGTATATATGGAAAGTCGTCATATAGCACCCCCTCCGGTCTGACCTTTGATGGTTTTGACAATAAGCACCTCACGGCGTTGATATAACCATCTTTCTCATATGTGCTCAGGCTCCTCCATTCTCGTCTTGTTGTTGGACTTCTGCATTTGGAAGATTGCGTTGAAGCTTTGAGTTTGGCAATGAATCCATTGACTTGTATCATCTCGCCACAAGCAAAGCCAATAATCAGGCACAGCAGACCGAAGAAGAATAATGAGCACAGGCTTCGCCAAGGCGACTTCGAGTGTCGACGAAGACTGGTTATTCCTTTTCCGAACTCCATTTCGTTGTTGATATCGGACATCTGTACAGGGACATATCCTGATTTCATGATGTTGAACAGCCACATTGGAAAGAAAGTGATTGATAAATGAGTATTAGTGTGGAAGGGGCTCTGATTCCTGGGGAGAATGTGCTTTGGGAAGATTTCTTTGTGAACATGTATTGAGTACTGTTTGGAAGACTAAAGACTTGGGGGGACGGCTTGACCTTGACAATCTCAAACACCGGGCTAGTATTCTCCCGGACATAAGACACCACATGCGTCGGCAGAACAATTCTGACATGCGCTGGTTTTGGCCAAGCTTTACCCCAACGAGCGTGTCCCGAGCCAGTTGCGCAATCTTTGTGTACTTGAAGATCACTTCCAATTTCACAATCAGAATGAAACTTTCGCTCACTGCGCGGGATGCCGGTAAGTGGCGGGAGTATCCCATTTTGACGAACTTGATTTATCTAGGTTGTCAGCATCGCACTGCCGCCCAGTGACCCACATTACTTTTCGAGACGTGCATGCCCGTTCAAGTGAGGCTAAGCGCCTTCCGGTAGGTCTGCATTGCAAATTGATACCGGCTTGGCATCCTTGCCTCCGTCCAAGTAGTACATGAGAACCCGGATCTGAAGGTCTAATGACGCACCTAGGTTTACGAGTATACATTTATCCTCTAGTACTACAACGTTCTTCCTTTCCTCGTGACAAGTTAACTTTTCAATTTCACCTCGATTGTGCCAATCCAAATCATTACTTGCACGATTTTGCAGTCCTCTGCTTGTTTTCAAGTTCACGCATCTCTTTTCACAATGTCATCAAAAGAATACCACCCGCTAGCTCTAGGTGATCACAGAGATGATGAGTCCGAAGACAGTCTTCCTCCAACTTACCTCTCTGATTTCAGAAAGCGACGAACCTCGTCAGCTCTTCAATGGGGACTCTATGTTTTTGGACTTGTTCTGACTGTTGCTGTGACCGCATTTGTTTCAACGGCCATTGCTCAGCAGCACCTCATAAGAACAGCGCCAGGAGATGGCCTCGATTCGAATAGTATGACTTCCTCAACGTCCTCTATTGGAATACTGATTCACAAAGTTTATAGTGCCTACGGAAGTCCGAATAATAAGCAAAACACCGCCTGACCAGATGGAAAAGATCTGGGACACTCTCATAACGAGAGAACAAGGACTAGTCTGGATTGACAATCCTGAAGAACATGGCTTTCCCCCAGGACTCCCAAACGGCCCTGGTGGCCAGAGAAACGTATATGGTCTTTCATATGCTCATCAATTGCACTGTCTCATGATGATTCGAAACGAGTATCATGCTTTGCAAAGAAACGAAAGCAAGCAGATCCTGGGACCAGACGGCGAAGCCTCACTTGACACCATGACCAAGAGGAGAATCCACCACATTGAGCACTGCTTCGACTATCTACGCCAGAGCGTTGAATGTGTCAGTGACATGACCATCGAATGGGCGGATCCAGAGCCTGATGAATTGGGAAATCTGTATCACATCAACGGCTATGGTGTTCTTCACCAATGCCGCAAACGAGTAAGTAAACAAGCACCTGCGTTGGCAAATAAGCGATTGACAAGTCTCTAGGAATCTGTAATCAACTTTTCTGCTGCTAGAAGACCTCCACTTGTTGCTCATCCCGAAGAAGGTGGTATTGATGGACAGTGAGAGCATGGCGAACGCCATCATGGCAATCCTTCAGAAGTTGCAAAGTAAAAGAGCTTGGCAATTTTGACTTGGGGGTATCATGATCTTTCTCGATGTTTTGCTAGTAGAAAGTCCGTACCACTTACAAACAAATGAACCTTCACACGATCCAACCTGCATACCTGGTTATCAGATGTGACCATGATTACAACATTGCCCTGTTTCCCGTCCCTAGTCGCCCTCTAGCCTCTAGGAAGGGCTTCCGAGTTGAGGCAGGATCCACGGAACCGTCTTCGAGAGACCTAGTTCAAATAGGGCAGGGCAAGCGCTTCCGAGCATCCCAGTTCAAAGATAACAAGTATTGTAGGCCTATGGCACCAGCTTTCACGATATCGCAGAAAGGGTTGTGATCACTGCAACGGACACCCCGCACGGGAACACGGAGGAGGATTCACATCCTGGCAGATTGCGCGCTGCAGATGCGATACCACAGTTCGTGAGGCGTGGCGGCCAACGAAGCGTACCTACTGTACAATAAGCATACCTCGGCGTGCTGCTGATTTGTCGGGATTAACGGCTGCGTACCCAGGATCATCGAAAATTGCACCACAGTAGGGAGGTGGGAGGGGGACAGCTCGGGTGGCACAACATAAACTTGACTGCACTCTAGGAGGTAGCCAAGGCTGTTAAGCTTTTGTGGATTCCGTGTACGAAGTACGTGGGAGGCGGGAAAGCACTTTAGTGGAAAGGCTAAGCTTTTTGTGTAACGGGAGCGGGAATGGCTGACTCTAGTGGGTAGCTAAGCTTTTGTGGATGCGGCGCGAGAGCGGGGATGCAACCCCAGTAGAGGATAGCTAAGCTTTTGCGCAGCGGTGAAGGCGTTATGGCTGGGTCTGAGATCATCATGCATCTGACAGGGGGGTAGCTCAAACCGCACGTCTTCGCCTCTCGTTCTAAGGTTTCAAGGGAATACGCGTGAGCAATTATGATTGGAAAGGAAAGCGATGCACAAGAATAGTTCGCCAAGGCTAGAACGAAGAAAGAAGGTACTCCTAAAGGACCTCTGATTCCCCATTGCACCCCATCCTGTCCTAATATGTAACTCTAAAAAGATTCCATTAATCTTCCGACCAATCGTTGCGTAAGGCAGATCCTTGATGCTTCCTGGCTACTCCGACCTCCACTCGAGGTTTGAAGCATTGCGAGTTTGCTCTCCTTTGAATAGCATCAAGTAAAGCCAGCATCATGACTTATTCGACAGAATCACAGCCCGAGACCAAGAAGAGTATCTCATTCGAATCAGCAGAAACAGATTCTTCATCAACTGGACTTTTGGAGAAGTTTAACAATACTGAAGCTCTTGAAGACGACCTCAGATTTATACGCCAACCGCCTCCGCGTTACTCACCGCGATGGCTGATGGTACACATCTGCGTCTTATTACTTTACACTTGTATATTGGTTGGAGCACTCTTCAAAGTTTGGTCGTTGCCGGAACAGAAGCTATTGCCAAGTCATGACAATGCTCTAGATATGCTTTACTGTAATTGCGTCCATGTTATCCACGGGATATCATTGCTAACACAATTCCAAGCTCCCATGCGTGATGCGGTCCGTTACGAAGTTAAAACACTTCACAATTCCGTTAATGCTACGAGCAAGTACAAAGGGCCGCCAACGCCTGAGGTTGATAAAGCTTGGAGGGCGGTTTTCGATTGTAAGTGAACTCGAGATCAAACGCAGGCATGTACTGATGCAGATACCCAGATGGTGAACTCAGAATCAACGATGAAGATCTCAAGCACATGAACCGCACATCCGTGAAATTGGCTGATGGCTCAGGGCAATACGTTGGAAGTCCAGATGCAAGTAACACCAGTCAAGCGGTTTTTCAAACAAACTCTAACATTGAGCGAAACCAGACCTACCACCAACTTCACTGCTTGTGGTATATCTTCCGCAACGTGCACCCCGAATTCTACACAGTAGAACCCACAAACGTCCCCGTGATAGATCATCTCGATCATTGCATCGACTCGCTCCGCAACTTCATCCAGTGCCATGCCACAACTAGCGTGCAGACCTACTCTTGGTTGCCAGACTTGCATATACCGTGGGCAAATTTCGAGGTCGATAATATCTGTGTTGACTGGGACTATTACACGAATTGGGTGACCCAGCATTCAATTCAGGACATTTATGATCCGCATATTTTTGTGCATCCAACGATGGGCCCGTCATTTCCGGATGGAAAACCGACAACAGGTACAAAGGGGCATGATCATGGAATAGGAGGTGCTTGATGAAACATGTCACATATGTTCTGTTAGCTGGATATAAGCTTCATGGAAGGTGCTGAGGAGGGCGTCAATAGGCCTAGAATTGAGAAAACGTTGACTATTCTTGTGTCTCGCTAGTCGCTTGGCACAACAACTACCATAATTACAACCAAAACTCTGCAATATACCCCCTAATCATATATTAACTAACTACAAATATGGATGCATTGAAGGAAGTACTTAGAGAGTATTTGTCTGGGGATTCAAACTTCGTCAGCAATCGAGTAACTTAGAGCGGCATCTCTCTTCTTCAACTTATGGTAAAATAATCGAGTGACATGAAGCCAACGTATGATTGGCGTGAGGACACTGTACGAATTCTTGACTTCCGGTAAAGGCTCTCCAAAAAAAAACTCACCTTGGCCACTGGGCAAACATTCCTGCACTCAAACATCTGCTGAGGGGCAATTTCATTCTTCTAGATTCGGCACTTCGGTGCAACTCTGCCCGCCAAATGTAACACGGGAAAGCTAAGAATCAAGAACCAAGAAAAAGACCAGCTGATACTGTGCCAGATTCCGGCATATGCCCCATTTAGCCGTACGGCCTTAAGTTGCCGTATAGAGAAAACGGGCCAAAAGGAGCTTGCATGGTTTCTCAGGTTCGGTTTGTAACACGGATCTCCGTGGTCGTGCCGGTCTTACGTCTCTCAAAAGCTAAAGCTAGCTAAGAGGCGAAGAGTAGCATTGCTTAGTGGGTTAAGTGGGCCTTATCCGTTTGATTCTATTGCATTGCGCAATTAGTGTCGGATCAGACGTAGGTGGCAGAAGTAGCCTATGCAGGATGCCAAGCACTTGACACTTGTATAACTGGAGACGCGTCGAAACTTCGGCTCAACGTCAAGACTGTATTCCTATGGCGACTGGTCTGCAGATCAGATGCATTGATACTTAGAAAATTGCAAGGGAGGCAAGTTCGTATTTCTCGCCCACTGTTGCAAAAGTCTCCTCTTGATCTGCAATAGCATTGTTGTCCTTGCTTTGCCTCACGGCTTCACCGACTTTACACATCTTCGATCGTCGATGAAAATGAGGAGGCGGCACGGATAAAGTTCACTGATCCATACTGTAACCAATGATTCAGAAATGGGAAAGCTGAGGGACTGTGCTTTACTGGGGTGAAGTCGGTGAAAGCGTTACTGCCTTCGTCCATCAGTACTTCATGGACAATGACTATCACTCCTTCAGAACTTGAAGTTTCAAATCCTAGCTCTGAACTTAGAATTGATAGGGCTTCCGTTGCTGGTCGATACGAAATACCCCACCACCACCAGCTTACTTGCAGGTGATCGATGGGTTTGCTATGGCGGCTAACAACTTGGAGTCCGAAGATGCCGACTTTACCTCGCTGAAGGATAATCTAGCAATGCATGGAGAACGGGCAGCACACGAGGAAAGGAAAAGATCTCCAAGATGCTCTCTGAGGAACGATTTCCGGCGTGGAGGGTTTGCAAAGAGGGGTAAACACCTTCAAGATCTTGTATCCACTTGAACGAAGCCGCTTGGCTTTCCTCGCCGCTGCTGCGTTACCAGTAGCGGAAGGTGAATTGGAAGGAGTACTTTCATCTGTGTAGGAAGGCAATATATAAACCCAAGTAATGCCACGAGAATTGAAGAATATCCTCCTCACTTCCATACCAAAGCACATCAGCTCTTACCTACATCATCAACAGCCCACCCTCAACAAACACTTGCCAACCAACCATCATGAAGTTCCTCATTCCCCTCTTGGCGTTGAGCTTGGCCTCCGCAACGGTCATCCCCGTTCGTAAGTCCGAGGATTTTGAGTGCAGCCGATGAAGAAAACTGTCACTGACTCTTTTATAGGAAGCAGCATGGGACTTGTCGCGCGCGATGATGTTGTCGAGGGTGACTACGGCAAAGTCAAGCGCGACGATGTTGTTGAAGGCGATTATGGCAAGGCCAAGCGTGATGATGTCGTTGAGGGAGACTACGGCAAAGTCAAACGCGACGACGTGGTCGAGGGTGATTATGGCAAGATCAAGAGAGACGATGTTGTCGAGGGAGATTACGGCAAGCGCAGCGATGTTGTCGAGGGGGACTACGGCAAACGCAGTGATGTCGTTGAAGGAGACTACGGCAAGCGCAGTGATGTCGTTGAAGGAGACTACGGCAAGCGCAGCGATGTTGTCGAAGGAGACTACGGCAAGCGCAGCGACGTGGTTGAGGGCGACTATGGCAAACGCTCCGTCTAAAGCTGCAACCATCGGCACCGGCCTGCTGCAAGCCAAGAATCCAGCAAAGGCCAATTGATCTGAGGTCAAGACGGGGGGAGGAGAACAACGATGCTACTTGTTAGCCGAAACATTCCTTTGGTGGGGTTGATTCCGAAGTACTGGGCTGGAGTTACAACTTACTTGAGTCTTTGAGATGATGATCAATGGAAACTTTTGGAGGACTTTGACTTCGTACTATCAGTGTGCACCGTCTGACAATGTGACATTGGCACTAATTACCTCTTCATGCCTCGTTCTGGACGATTCTGCTCACGAGTCTTTCTACTGCTTGCGATTTGCGATCAATTGTTTGAAAAAGGTTTGTAGATACTAAAACTCTTGCATTGACTCCATTTAACGACAAGATAGAAATAGTTCATGACATGGCCATGTGTTTGGAAGCCTCCAATAAAAGCATTTCTTCGGGGGTTTTCAGAACATTGAAAGAGGAGGATATTGGTCCCGTGAATGGAATTTCGTCCACTTCGCAAAAAGCATTTTTGGACGGTAGCTCTCCTGTCTGAAAGTACTGTCGCACAGCTTTGGCAGTGCATAGAGATGGTGCTGCATTCGAGCAGTGCTGCCAAATCGTCAGTTTCTTTCAGGTGGCTCCGGGATGGTTAAACTCACGCCAATTGCATCATTTTGTAGAACCACGGAACCCGGAAATCCTCGAGATATTTTATGAGCACTAGTTTGTAGTTTCATCAGCGTACGAAAAGATATAAGGCTATGCTTGACACGTGTGATAAACTTACTTGTTAAGTGGTGTTGTCGGATCCAGAGTGTTGCCGATCAAGAGAATGGGATGTCTGGTTTCGGCTTCGAAAGGACCTAGAAGAGACCGTGAGTAACGGGATAGCTCCAACAGTTGAGAGTTCACCCTACCAGTATATCTCCACTTAGGTCTTAATCTCCATTGTGTACACATCAGCTTTGAAGCTGCCTTCCTTGTACCCATGACCTTGCTATGATCATTCAGCAAAGCCCAATACGCGTTGAATGTCTCCTGGCTCCAGTCTTGAATGTCCTCGCCATCAGAGCATTCAATCCCCAAACTTCCTGTTTCGTCGAGGATTCCGGACGTCTGGCATTCTGGAGTCCAAGGAGAAGCATCTTTGCAACTCTCCGGCTGCCCAGCTATATCTGACTTCATGGAATTCCTCTTGAAGTCAGCAAATCCGGATGTGTTTCCTAAAGTCAAGTTGTGCAATGCATGAAACAGTTGCACTGCAGACTTCAAAGGTTTATACAGGGCCAAATGGAGAGCCATATCAATATCCGAAGCAGTGAGGATCTGAGGTCCTTGCCTTGTTGAGGGCATTATTGGAAGCGGCGTTACTATGGCGCTGTCAATAATCGAAAATAGTGTTGTTTTGATCTTTTCTGGACCACGAGGGTCAAAAAGACCACACTTTTCGCGCGTGCCAGACTCATAACATGTTTCAAGCAGGCGATCCAATACTTTGTCGGAATCTTGAACTGATGATCGGCTCGAGGAATTGTAGTAGTCAGGAACATCTACTACGCCATCCAAGATAACTCGGTGCACCCGATCAGGATACATGGCCGCAAAAGTGGTGCCAATGACAGTGCCGTAGGAAAGGCCCCAGTAAAGAAGTTTTTCTCTCCCAGGTATCCAGCGTGTCCGGTCGATAACAGCTCTCTTGCTGTCTTCATGTTGTAAACCTGTGGATGCCATATTTTTACAAGCCTGATCTCTAAGCCAGCGACGAGCTTCGTTTTCTCTCCATTGTCCATGCCTTTCGATAATGGCTACCATGTCACGCACAACTGGTGTGGTATTAAGGAAGTGGCCAAGTTGTTGACCACCTGCGTCCGCGCAGCTTCTGCCCAAAGCTTTGGCTCTGGCCCAAGCTCTTGGAACAGAATTATTAGACATACCAATCAGACCCTCGGCTTGGCTCTGGAGATTCCAGGCAAGCCGTTCAAAGGCATTAGGAAAACACACCAGTGTAGGGGTGGTGTTATTAACACCTCGTGGGTCGAAACCAATGATATCATAATATTTTGGCATGGGCTTTTCTGGGTCTCCAAGCACAGGTTGGGTATCTGCAGAGTAGTCGGCAATCTGCTGCATCTGCAGTCCTTGTCGGTGTAAAAGCTCAATTCCGGAACCACCAGGGCCACCTGTCATTATTTCAGCTTCCAGAGATTTTCGAGGCGCTCCGCGGATCTGCTGATTACGAACCTGGATTAATCAAGATAGGGCCGCCATAGCGTGGATCAGTGACCTCGACCTTTGCTGGAATTCTCGTGATTGCAATGGCAATCTTGAGACTCGTCGCACTATTATTCCAATCCATGGGAACCTAAGATGTATTTAGTTTTTCGTAATCTCAGTGCACACCAAGTTCCTCCTCATATCATACTTCAAGTCTCGCACACTGCATGCCATTCCCGCAGTCATGGTATATTAGCTCCTCATTTGGAGTGATCTAATTGTAATCCATTAGCTTACGTATGCACACGTTTTAAATCGGAGAAGTACCTGGCTCCACTCAAACACGTTGAGACTCTGCTCTGTTGCGTAGGAATCCGGGATGCTCCTCCACCATTGAATTGGGTTTGTTCTGCTGGCGGAATACAGCACAAAGATCAACGCAACGAGTAGGACAGCTCTACTCTTCCAAGCAAATTGAGACAAATTGCTTCTCGAAAGGACTGGTGTTGGGTTCTTCTGCTCTATGTTGTGTTGCAAGCTCATGGTGCTGATGCCTGTTGTTCGGTTTTCGGTCAAGCTGTGACACAAGATGAAAGAGTTCAAACGACGACGACGAACTTATACAGTCGCTCTCGTTAGAGTCGACAACATGTGTGCCTGTGAAATATGACTTGACAGAACTGGAGGTATTAGTCGATTTATTCAATTCAAGATGAGTTTGTGAATAAAAAGGATGCCCTCGATGCGAGATGACGAAGTTGCGCTGCAGCACAGGGTCGCTAGCGATGTCACTCAGCACATGCGACAGCGAGGTTAGCGGGCGTCGGGTTTCGCCGCTGAGTAAGGATCTGCATGTGTTGGCTGTAGCGACTTCATTTCTCAACTACAATGCTGATTTTTGCTCCAATGTGCTTTTTTGCTCAATACATGTCACTACGCTTCCTCATCCACTCCTAAACACTTCGTAAGTTCCACTCCATCCTGCTCCCCATTAGTCTGGGCTCACTCGATCGACGATTGAAACTCACCTTGACGCCCGTAGGCTCCCAACTCTCAACCAATTCACTCTTGTAGATTATATTCGGATTTCCCTTCACCTTGTCCAGCTTCTCAATACTTCCGTACTGTGCTGCCGACCTCCCTGGAAAGTTCTCCGTATCGGTGGTCTCCTGAGTCAGTGCCATCCTTTTCTCCTTCACGCTGCTCCTGACATATTTCAAATACGGAGGGTTTCCAGGGCTAATAACATTATCAGCAGCGAGAATAGTCCCTTTGTTGATCATTCCCAACGATTCGCAAAGCTTCAGGTCTGTTGTATATGCTGGCTTGTAATGATCCAAGAACATCATGTCAATGCTCTTCAAGCCTCTGTCGTACAATTGTTGAAGGCCTTCATTGCTTGGTCCAACGATAATCTCAACATTCTTCAACCCCGCAAAGTCCACCAAAGCTTTGATATTCTTTGCGAACTTGGGACTTCTCTCCAACGAGAAGTACTGGCCATCAACGGCGTCAGCGAATAGAATCGTCGAGTAACCACAGTATCCTCCGAGCTCGACCATGACTTTCGGTTTCCTCTCTCGGATTATGTCAACCACAATCCTTCCCTTATCTTCTCCAACATTCATCAAGTACTTTTTGGTTCTTGCATACTCATCAATTCCTTTGAGAACAGCGCGTGGAGACCCACGTAGTTCCGGTTTGCTCGTGATGAACTTGACGAGCTCTTCTTCTCGGCCATCATCAAACTTTTCTGTCAGCATTGATCATTGAGAACTCAAACAACTTACAAAGGTCTCTTCTTGATTGGCGTACGCTTTGGACTCGTCGAAAGATGGCATTTTTGCATAGATCTATTGGAACTTTTCAGAGAAGTTGCCTATTTTCTGCCGATTCGTGTTCGTATTCCGAGTCGCTAGTCCTGCTTGCGGAGAATCTTTGAGATCACGCAATGGATCAAATGAACAATAAACAAGGCATGAAATTGAGTGTTGAGGTCATGATACTTCAGATACTTCCCTACATCATGACTATTTTATGGTAGCGCCGTTAATACTAGCTCGACGCCGTCGCATAGCCGTTTTCGCCGGACACATCGTTACGCTACCTACAATGTAGGGTATCGAGGGGTCGCGTCACTTAACGCATTTTCAAAAATGCACCAAGTAGGATGGTACCTGCATTACACAGGGCTCGACCAAAGATTTGACCACGACTCTCAGATGCACCACCTGTCGTTCGTGTACTCGGGTATCTATGTCGATTAGGTCCCGCTCCAAATAGTCTTGAAGCTAAACGCTTCAAACCCGGAAGAAGAAGCAAAGCAACGGATCCGTTTGCTTTCAAACGCTATTCAATTTGTTGACAGGATGGGTCCAGGTGGCGCCGTGGAGACTTCCGAGTGCTTAGGGGACTAAAAGCGATCCAGAAGACAGTCATCGTCATCACATATGATGCTATAATATTGAAGCCTCCCGGCGTCAACTCTTTTCCCAGGTTCAACAGATTTCCTCTCTTTGTTTTCTTCTGCATCTTCTCTTTCAGATCATTCATCATGTCTGACCTCAAAGCAACCGTCGCTGAGACCAAGACCTCCTCAGGTCATGTTGGCTTCCGCGTTGAAGGCTACGAAAAGATCGAATATGACTTTACCTTCATTGACGGTGTCTTTGACCTTGAGAACTGCAACCTTGCAAATTGTTACAAGAAATGGAAGCGATGCTTAGCCGTTACCGACCTGAACATTTACAACATCTATGGGAAGAAGATGGAGAAGTATTTCGAGCATCATGGCCTTGAACTCAAGATACACAAGACCAAGATCGGAGAGAAAGCAAAGACAATGCCAACTCTGCTGAGCATTGTTGATGCTATGAACGAATTTGGCATTTATCGCAAAGTTTGTACTCTGGCCAAACTTCTGCATTTGATAAAATGAGACTAATCCTTTCTAGGAGCCCGTCCTAGTTGTTGGCGGAGGTCTTGTCACTGATGTCGCTGGGTAATTCTTCTGCAAATAAGCTAGACGCCTTCACTAACACTTTTCCAGCTTTGCATGTGCAGCATATCGCCGCAATACCAACTTCATTCGAGTTCCAACTACTGTCATTGGACTCATCGATGCCTCTGTCTCCATCAAAGTTGCCGTCAATTATGGTGAAATGAAGAACAGGTTGGGCGCATACCACGCACCGATCCATACCTTCCTTGATTTCACCTTCTTGAGAACACTCCCGACTGCCCAAATCCGAAACGGCTTCGCAGAATTGATCAAAATTTCTACCTGTTCCCACCTGGATACATTCAACCTTCTCGACAAATACTGCGAACAACTCATCGAGAAGTCATTCGGTCGTGCTGATGGCTCTTCCAAGGAGCTCATAGACGCTGCCGACAAGATCAACAGAGAAGGTATCCATGAGATGTTGAAGCTCGAGACACCCAACCTTCACGAGATTGGTCTTGATCGTGTCATCGCGTATGGTCACACTTGGTCACCGCTTCACGAGCTGGTCCCAAAGACTCCATTGCGTCACGGACATGCCATCTCCATCGACATGGCATACTCTGCAACTCTCGCCAATGATCGAAAGTTGATCACTGATGCTGAGCATCGTCGAATCTTGAACCTCTTCTCGCGCGCAGGTCTCTCCATGGATCATCATCAGTTCGACGAAGAGATTTTAGCTAAGGCCACTTCAGCTATTCTAAAGACACGGGATGGGTTACTTCGCGCTGCTGTGCCAAATCCAATTGGTACTTGCACTTTCCTCAACGATGTCTCTGCCGAAGAGATGAATGCTGCTCTCAGGAGACACAAAGAGCTTATGAAGGAGTATCCCCGCAACGGAGAAGGTCTCGAAGCATATGTCGATGCTTCTGATACTGGATACACCGAGAATGCAAAGATGGAGGAGGAGAAGGTCCTTGAAGCGGCTGCTATGAAAGCGGGAAGTCTCAATGGAACCAATGGTACTAACGGTATTAATGGTATGAACGGTGCAAAGACTGCCACCAATGGAGCCAACGGGACCAATGGATTCAGCAATGGCCATACAGACACAAAGGTCAAGAACAATGGTGTTGCGCCGAATGGCGTGAATGGCAACGCACTCAAGAGTGTAAAGGTTGCTGACGGTCAATAAAATGGCATATGGAGGGTTCTAGAATTAGATTGTGTACAAAAGCTCTTGATATCGAGCAGTGAAGACGCTTTCCCAAAGTGGGTTGAAACTTAATCGCATCGATGTTGGTCGTGAAGTTGATCCAGTTGTTGTGTTGGTGACATGAAACATCTACTATTACATCAAGCCCAAATTCTCTTTACCAACTTCACCCCAGTGCGATAGTGTAAACCGTTTCCCTTCTCATTTCCTCCCTTTATCTTCTTCAGCGTCGATTAGTTTCTCCTGCTATCAACACTCTTCTTTATTGTCAACTAATCACCCACACCCGTAGTCTTCATTCTTTCAACACCCATCCTAAACCAATCACCTAGACCTTGCTCGACCATATGCGCCGGAGCCCAACCACTAGTTGTCGCCGTCTCAACACACCTGCGCTCAACCGCGTCAATAGTCTTTGTTTGAGGAGTTTCTAGATTGTAAAGACGCGTTTATATCGACACTAGCGTCGCACTAGTGCGAAGATTGTGTTGATGAGTGAATCTGGAAGGTTTTCGAGGTGATTGGGTGAATTGTGATACGACTGAGGACTGGTAACGGTTGCTGATTGGTCATCTTTGCCTGTTACCGTCAATCTGGGAAATAAGATAATATTGTTCTAGAATTTGTCGGACAATATAAATTGGCTAAGTCCCAAAATCAAATAGTACAAGCAGGATGCGAATTCCCTCCCATCTCGACGGACCTCCTTTCCCTACTTATAGCAATTTAAGGTGTCCTACAAGCTTCAGAACAATATTATCTTATGATTTATTCTTACGCTACAGGTTATTTACTCAACTATTAACCTAGGCTAGGAGCAACAACTAAGATTCTCATCGATTTACCAGTTCTGGAAACGGGCTAGTGGTTTCAACTATTTGAGGTCATATTTGAGCTCCAACTAATTATTATAGCGCTTTGTCTTCTGGGGATTCATTGCTGCCAATCATCTGTTCCTCCAACCAATTCCAGATCTTATGTATCAATTCTTTATCCACCGGCCTCACCGAACGCATGGCTTTTGAAAATTCCTCCGCATTGGCAACTTCGAAGCGGGCTTGTTGTTTCTCTCGATTATCGTTATTCTCTTCTTCAGCGCTGCTACCTTTCCACAACCATAGCAAACTCTGGGCTGGGTGGGATTCGAGCTTCTCCAGGCTTTTCATCCATTCATCAGGTTCAACTACACCAAATGGCTTCGATCTAGCCTCACGAATCCACCTGAGAAGATCTTCCCATGACTTCTCTGTCGAGTTATTCACAATGTGATACACTGGACAATCCTTTGTCGGTGGATTGTCCGTGCTCTCACCAAGTGCAATATCGATGACAGCCTGGGCAGCAATATCAACAGGCAGCCAGGTCAGCTTGTCACCTCTCTGAGGAAGACAATTCACAGCATCCACAGTACTCAGCATCATGGGCCAAGCTTCACTCATGTTCCACACGCCATTGACGGTGTCTCCAGTCAACTGTCCAATGCGCAGTATCTTGATGCGTCCCGCCATCATCTCTTCATTCGAGGCCGCAGAACAGATCGCTTCGGCGACCCATTTGCTGCGTGAATATCCAAGAGCATTAGCATCTGAAGGTGAGGTCGAGATTTGCTCAGTTATGACGGCAGGATGAGACTGTCCGAGTACGCTCGCAGTACTGGAACAAAATGATAGTCGAGCTGGAGGGGAGCATGACTTTGAGAATTTGATAAGATGGTAGAGGCCGGCAATGTTGTCTTCTTCGAATGCTTGAAGTGGCAGAGAGAAATTAACGGTCCAAGCAGCCTGAAACAATCAGTATTTGTTTAAGGAAAGATGAGGGTAAAACGACGTACATGGATAATATGAGTGACTTTTGATCTCAGAACTTCCAATAACTCTGCTGGTATTCCTAGATCCGGTTGTGCTAACCGAACTGGGATGCATTGAACATTATCATGATCCTGTAATGAATCTTTTCGTCGTTTAATCAAGCTGCTGGAGACTCTTGTCCTTGCAGCGTTTTGATCGACAGCTCGGACGAGAGAATAAATTTCTGTAATTGACCGATCCCGGCGCAGAATATCTAGGATGTGTGCACCGAGTGCACCAGTTGCGCCTGTAAAAATCTATGAACGATCAACATTATGAGATATACATATGAAACAGTCTACTTACCACTACCCGGGTATAGGGTTCAGGGTTCTGACGCTTGACAACATCATCAGGTTCTTCTGATGTTTCAAAATTCGAACATCGCCGGACAAGATCCAACATCTGTTGTTCAACACCTGAGGAGGTTTTAGAATCATTCAGACTCCCTCCCCTTAGATCGTTAATGTATTGAGAGAGGCTGTGGAGTTAGCCAGTGTAAGCTTTTCTTTGGCGAGTCCATCCTTACTTTTGGATGTTGCCACAATTATAAACAACATTCCACGGAAGTAACTCGCCACGGCCGAGAATTTTCTACTCGAATTTTAAGCTTCAGAATTTTCCGATGGGAGTTACTCACTTTCTGTAGGACTGATCTGATTTGCGTGCATGTTGCAGAATCAACGCCGCTCCTGTAGAAATCACAATATTCATCCTTCATGGGCCGTTCTAACAACCCGTTAACAGTCTCGGTGACTAGAAGTGTCACATCTTGATCGCGAGAGATCCTCGATACAATTTTCGGAGTCTGACACCGTGTACAATTGCTCAATTTCCATGGCAAATCTCTTCTCGACAAGAGCACGCAGTAACGTTCCCTTGCTGCTCCGAGAAAGCTGCGGCGTTTTGGCATCGAGAATTAGAATCATGCCTCTGGATATTCTGGTATGATTTTCCCCTTTGCCATTGATGTTCTTCACGACATCCCATATCTCCTTTTCACGACAAGCAGACATGTCTGATTTGAGTATAACCAGTGCACCAGGGACTTGCTTGCCGTTACCAACGATAAATACTTCTCTGATATGAGGAGAGCTGGAAGCAATCTCATCTTCTAATGGAGCAGGGTCGAACTTCTTGCCCGTCAACAAAGTGATTTGGTTATCACTCCTACTATGGTATTTCCATGCATTCAGAATCGTTGGATGGGGTTCAAAGAGATCACTAGTGGCGTAACTTCCATCTTGTCGGTTTCTTTTCGCCATATGTGGCCAGTCTGGACGCACAACTAACTCGTACAATCCAGAATCATCATCCTGTTTCTCGAATTGGAGAAGTTTGGTGCTTGCCAGACGGAGGTATTGCCACTCTTTATCTGTTTCATAGTCGCGGTGCGAACACAGCAGAAATCCACACTCGGCACTCCCGAATCTTGACACCAGGTTCACTTCTGAGGAGACAAGGTCGTCGCCAACTCCAGCAGGCAGTGCGGCGCCACCAACGCCCACAATGTCCATCTTCTGCAGCATGCTAACTCCTTGCGGATCTTCGGCAAGCATCTGAAGGACATATGGCACACTAGAAAAGTATTTGACTTGTGGTGTGGAGCGTTCTTGGGCCGCTTTCTCGGAGACATTTAAGCAAAAGAGGATGTTGTTAGTCGTAATAGGGCGTTTGTCTCCTGGGAACAACCAGATCAAGGCATTGCTAGTCCACGCTCGAAAGCAGTCAGCGATTCCACCATGATACAGTGGAGTTGTTGTGAATGTAGCTGAGTCACCGCCGTCGAAGGAAGGTAGTACCGAGACCGCTCCATGGTGTGTCTGTGGTATTGGTTTTGGCATTCCAGAAGAGGTCCCAGAAGTATGGTGGATGTAGGCTGTATCGCTCTCAACGGCCTCCGAAACTATCCGACGAAATGGTTTCAAATGGCTCATGAGATGACGAATATCATGGCTTTGAGACTGCCAAGGAATTTGATGGATGGCTAGACTTTCTGCATGGGATGCAGCAGATGAGGCCAAGTCGCGGTATGCTTCATCATAGACCAGATGCAGAGCATCACACGATTTGCACAGATGAACAATTGCTTCTGGCTGGCATTGGGGCCTGGTGACGCTGCAGTCAGTACTTTTCTACGTTATGATAAAGTAGTAGAAGATACTCACGCAATCAGGAGGACTGATAATCCAGCTCGCATCAAACCAAGCCAAGTGAAGAGGAAGTCGACAGAACTTGGACAGAGAAGTGCTATACATGGAGCTCTCTCTTCACTACCAATACTTGTTAAGAGTGGAATAAGCTCCCCTGCCGCCGCTATCGAGGCAGTGAGAAGCTCCTTGTAAGCTGGGAAAGTCAGAACCTAGAATGAAGGAATTGATGGATCACGTGAGAGCGTATACGTACTGAAAATGTCGCAGCTCCATTCAACCCCATCCCGTGGAGTGGGGAATGCACAAGCAAATCTATCACCATGGCACTTCGCTTGGAGATCGATGAGCTCGCTGACGGTAGACAAGTTTGTGTCAGGTCGTTCAGCCGCTTGTCCAAGTGTAGATGTGAAGCAATTCGGCTGAACATTCCCTGGTTTCTCTGAGGCGGACATTTTGGCAGACATATATGGCAATGCATACATTTGAGTTAATGAGGATTTACATAGTTGAATGCTCCAATGAACCTTCGATCTTCTCAATGAGGAAAATGTTCGGGCAAATCTAAATGCAAACGTCATGATTCTAGAGCACTTCGAACTATTTAGTGCGGGAACACACGGGAATGCGGGATCCACATCATATGAAGCACTAACCTGGCAGACATGACCCTTTTGCCTCTGCTGGATATTGTGGCAGGGATTGACAGAGGAGGCGTTTGGCCAGTCTGATAATGGTCAAAAATACCGACGCACCCAGACGCCAAGAACCACGAGAAATGGCGAAAGATAGAATAAAAACAGGCAGCGGTCAGAGAAATTATCGTGCTGAAGTACGTAGTGTTGTTCGAATTCAATCCGATGCTTTGCTAGGGTTCGCCTGCCAATTTCCATGAAGAGCTTCTACTTCCTCACCGTCCTTCAACGGATTAGCAACTTCTCCTCCCATCATCTCCAATATCTCTTCTTCTCCCTTCTGCTGACGTTCTGTCTCCCACCTCTCATACTCATCCCACCACCACTGATGAGTGATTCCATCACGACCAAGATACCCCGCAACGCCATCCCCTCCAACCCTCCGACTCCACGGCTTGTCGACAATATAATGCAAGTTCCGAACCTCTTCATCTTGCCACATGCTTTTATGCCAATACCGCATCGTTTTCAATGCATTGTATTGCCACCCAACGCTCTGCCACCTGCCTTTGAAATACTCAGCGAGGAAGTCTTGATCCGGAAACAAAAACTCCTTCACTCTTTCATCTGAACGCAGAAACTTCAACATATCTTCCCACTGGGACTGATATGGCGAAAAGATAAACATCCCACTATTCAAGAGTGTGTGTGTTCTCTTCCCAGACGAAAATGCCAGATCTGGTACAAGCGTCGGAGAACTTCCTGGTTTCAACCCAGTGTAAGCGCAATTTTCCTTCTTCCAATCTTCCGCAGCCCAGCTATCGCTATCCAGGTTACAAACACAGGCATGATTGGCTGCAATCCAGTCCTTTCCTGGTAATTCATACTCAAATAATTCATCCATGTTTCTCATCACGAGCATATCAGCGTCGAGAAACACCAGCTTCTCGTAGCCATATCGATAGAGTTCGAAGACTCGCAATTTGGTCCATGTGTCTTCGAATCTTGATGCGATTAAAGAGGAGGGACTGTTTTCTGGTGGAGGGGAGAGAGCTGATATGTGTAATATTGATGCGTTTGTCAAGGAGCATTCGCGCTCAAGTGATGGGAGTAACGATGATGGAAATGAGGAGGTTATGAGTACCAAGAGCGGATATTTGGATTTATGGCGATGGAGACTGTAGGCGAGAAGAATGGCTCCGGGGAGGTAGGATATGCGAGTGAGGAGAGTCACCCAGGTAAATGGAGAAGCGGGTGCTTTGGCAGTGCCATTCATGTCGGTATCGTGGAAAAGGCTGTGGAGTTCGGTCAACCAACGTGACTCTCCCAGGTCCAAAGAGAACAATTTATCGCCATTATTCCCCCAGCAGTTATTTTGCATGCTTCCAAAGTCTTGTCGTCACTACCCGCGCTTTGGATATTCGACAGGCTCAGCACTAGCCGGCGCCACCACAAACCCCTTGACGACTAGCACAGATAAGCGACGCTAGAAAACAATATCAACTATAGAATGCATAAGTTGGAGCATCAGTAAGTATAAAAGTGAGAGGGGTTCGAAGCTCTGGTATATTGCATTGTTGTATCTCGTGAAGGTGCAACAAGTTTTGTAGCCAAGAAGGGAAACAGGCCTTGAGCTTGAACAGTATGAATTCGTATAATGATGCGGAGCTTCCTACATGAACAGTGCAAAGCTCGCAAAGACAGCGCCAAGCACAGCACCCGCCTTGCTCTCCACCCTCAACCCATCACTCTTCTGCGTCGAGGTCGATGAAGAGGATGCCGCAGACCCTGTATTGGTACTCTTCCCTGAAGCCGTCGCTGCAGTACCTGTATTTTTTCCTGTAGCAGTTGCAGCCACACTCCCACCTTGTCCACTGGAACCAGCAGTGGCCGTAACCACAGCAGAACCCACCTCCACCGAACCAGTTGCAACGCCAGCATCTGCATTGAATGCAGCTGGAGTGATGACACTGGAATATCCGGGAAACAACGTTAGGGTATACGCAGGCTCTCCAAAGTCCGTGAAAGCATTTCCAGGTAGGTTGGAGAGAGGTTCGGTTCCTGGCTCATCAGCAGGGAGGTTGAGTGGATTGGTGATTGTGCCATAGAAAGGATATCCGAACTGCGACACGCAAGTATCGGAATTGTTGTCAAGAATCGCGCAATTGTCCGTCGATTTCGAGATGAGTTGTTGAGTATCGTTGAGTTCCTGTTGGAATCCAAGGATAGAGAGGTCCGATTTAGGACATACATTTAGGATACTGTAATCGTCAGATCTTGCAGATTCGGAAGAGGGGCAGCACATACTTGGACACTGGGAAAGAGAATTCGCAGCACTCGCATTCATATGTAGCATCTAAATCACCACTTCCAGCAACTGTTATGCACGCATTGTTGAAATTGATGTATGTTTTGTTGCCATAGACGTAGCCAAGGTTGCAAGCTAGATGATCGGTTAGGAGAGCACGAACAAGACTCAGCTTAGGAGCTTACAGCAAGCGCCTGCAGATGCGTCATCTGGTGGAGGATAGAATGGGATATTGGCATTTTGGACAAGGTCGGTTCCGTCAAAGTAACTCAGCGCAGTGAGCTGATACTCGCAAGAGTAGACCTTTTCCAAGTCAGCTCTGGAATATTACACGCGAGCATCAACATACCTGATTCCAACAGCTTTGAATCCAGCATCCCACATTGCTAGCCAACCAGGCTCCATTGCATCCCAATATACAATCTGTGTACGCTCCTGTGCCTTGCACGTTGTTGGAATTGCAGAAGGAGACACATGAATCTGCATTGCTACTTTGCGTATCGTAGCAAGAGAGAAAGCCTTTCGGGTCCACGCATCCTTGACCAGTTGGGTTCCAATTCCGAGTGTCGCCGATCACACTTGCTGGGGCAAAACAGAGGACAATCGCAGCAAGACGATGTAGATTCGATTTGAGAAGAGACATGCTGTATGAATGGAATGAGATGCACCTCTGAAGAGCTTGAAGACCAGAATATGTTACTAGCAGCAGCGCACCCAGATGTACAGTACTTGTACTTGTACCTCAAGTCACAAAGACCGAGGCCCACAGCCGTTGATCGCGAGACCGAGCAGGAAGGACGCGAAGCCAATGAAGGTTGCAATTCTCAGCCTCATTTCGATAGTTGCTTCTACCCAACCCTGAATTTAGACACTCGTCGTAGATTTGACTTATCAGATCCTTGAAATCAGTGGAAAGTCCTGGCGCACTGGCAAGGCATTTTCAGAGCGATGCCGCATGTCTTCTTGGCAAAGAGGAGCGCCCCATAGTTTAAATTTAAGCTTAAAGAATGATTGGAAGAGCAGGTTACCATGACCAGATTGAGACATTTTGAGACGGCTGGACGCGAGACACGATGCATGCCATCGGAGCGGCTGAGGAGAAAGGCAAGCTGAAAGGGGGAGGGAATTGCGCCGGGGCCCGACTCAGGGATCACCAAGAATATATGACTTCGGGGGGAGGAGAACACGAACATTAAATAAAAGAATAAAGCTGCTGCGGATGTGAAAACCATCATCATCCGTATCCTGAAGTTTTGGTGTGGAAATATGTCTGAGGGAGAAAGGGAGAGCAAAGGGAGAACAAAGGGAGAGCAAAGGAAGAGCAAAGGGAAGGAAAGGTGATATGTGGACCAACGGCGGGCTAACCATCTTTGGCTGTCCCCGTCCTGTGCGGAAAGCTCCCGCTGAAAGATCACCAGTGGGTCTCGAGCTTCAATACCCAATTTCTAACACAAATAATTGTCTAATACCATCAACAATTCTACGATCAACTTCTGTGCTATCTGTTTGTCGCACTCGCATCGCAGTCTGGCAGTCAAGCATCCAGAAGATTGTCAGCCGAATTCGATGCCTCCTAAATCATAACGAGAGATACATGAGCAACATCTTCTACTTCGTTCCCCAATTGAAAGAACATCTGTAAAAAGTCCGGTTCTGAGCATTTTAACGCCGTATCGCGAGAACCCTAAGCTGCGAATACTTGCTTTCCCAAATGCTAATCTCTAATGAAGTATCAATGCATATCTAGCCAGTTATCCCTTTCTGTTGAAAGATCAATTGCGAGCGCATTACCTATTTTGCGAAGAAATTCCCGGGCTGCCCAATCTGTTCGCCGTGTTATGAGTCATCAAAAGTGGAATCGTTGCTGCTGCCTGGACGTGTTTATATTTATGTCAAAATCATCTTCGCACCTCCTCCCTTTTGCTTAGGTTGAATTGTTCACGGAACGGTGGACAATCCCTCAAAAGAACGCTCTGTACGCGTATCAAGTCTTCAATACCTCAAGACCTACTGCCAGCAATGTCCTCAAACTCCCTGGAAACCCCAGGCATTCCTGTCCTCGGTGATGCTCCAGCAGATGCCCCCAAACACAAATTTATCCTTCGACCTATGCGATTTTCGGACATTCACACACTGGGAGTCTACACTGCTGAAGCCTACGCCGGTACCCCAGTCATGGACTTTCTAGCTCAAAAAGCACACCACGATCACCATATATTTATTCGTGGCTTCCGTCAGAATATTTGGGAGCGAATTACAAGCAACCAACATCTCAACCTGGTGGCTTGCGTTGCTTCTGATCCCAACACTCCTATCGGCTATGGGCAATTTGTTCGCAAGGGCAATGCTACGAATTATTCTCAAAGCTCCGGAGTTGAGAAATGGATAATGCTCCTGCTGTCATGGGTCATCGGGGCGTATTTCCTGGTGGAGCATCGGTTATGGCCCAATCTGACTTGCGATAAAGACGCATTGAAGATGTTCGAAGGGTCTAGTGGGTTGGATACCAAACGGTATTGGACAGCTCACCCGGAACGCGCCAACAGATGGCATGCTCAGAGTATCATCGTTGCTCAAAAATGGCAAGGAAAGGGGGTCGGAAGACTCATTCTCTCTGAAGCTCTATCTCGAGCGAAGGAGGAAAATGTGGTCATGGGTCTTACATCCAGTCCGATGGGTGAAAAGCTATACCGAAAAATGGGCTTTCAAATGCTGGGTGACTATACCTATAGGGTTGGTGGTGATGTTGGAGGCGGGATTATGATGTGGTCTCCTCAGGGCACGGAAGATGTCAAGTCGAAGTGACAACACGGTGATGATACCAAATAGGCCAAAGGTAATGAATGATGGTTGTAGGGCAAGCTACGAACTAAGTTCAAACTGTATTGGCTCTCGATACCTTCGAATTGTTGAACCAGCTCATGCAAAGTTGTTTTGGCTCTTCTGGAAAGTTCTGGCGTTATCATGCTTTCACAGGTCAGTGCTTGCACGATGTGAGGTAGGACTTCTAGGAAGTTGAGAGAGGCTCAGCAAAGCGTTCAGCTTTAAGTAAAGGAACGAACACGGCTTCTTTGAAATAATAAGGCAAGCTCATACCATGTCTATGTGTTCTGTATTCTGTCTATTGTAATGTCCCTGATGTCCCTAGTAATATGTGCTGTTGACGAAGGGAACAATGTTCGTACTCCGCAAATAGTGAAGGATTTTCAAATACCTTTTTCAAGTCCCTGTCCATGGACAGACATTCAACGACAAGAGTGAATTTTATGCTCTCGTAGATTCGCCCAACTTGGAAATGTTCGTCGTCACAAATGAGGTTTTCCACGAGATTCTCTTCACTATTGCACAAACATTCACAATAAACACATCTCCAATTTCGTCTCAAGCACAATGGGACAAAAGCACAGCACACCTACGTGGACCCATTGGCATTGTTGCAACAATCACGGAGATTGGACTGTAAGTTTTCAGAATCTGGTTCACGCTCCGTTTGTCGGACTTTGGGATAAAGCTAAAAAAAGCTACAGTGCAAGGCTCTCAATGCTCAACCCCAGAGAACTTGCCGGAGATGCAGTCATCGGATCTGTGGTCAATGTGTGAAAGAAGGGACAGATTTGAGGTAATGTAGTGCTCTGGCGAAGCAGATTATGCAAAAGGGGCTCGGCTAATGCTGAACAGCTCCCAGACAAGAGGGGAAGGAAGGAGCAGCATGAAACAGTGACGGACAATGAAGACCTCAGAAGTTGTATGGGTATCATGAATTCAACTACTAGCTATCAATGCTAGTCAAGCCCCCGGCTTACCAGCTCTGCTAGTCGCCTCCTTCTCCAATGCATCTAATGCATCCTCGTACCTTTGCCTCTCATTGTCAAATACCTCTTTCTTGATATTCACCCTCTCCACCTTCACATTACCGACTCGCTGAACTCTCTGATTCCTCGCAATCTCGCGCCAGAACCACCCACCCTCACTAGATGTAAACAAAGTCCAAGCATGCCCTTCCTTTCCCGCCCTTGCCGTCCGTCCAATCCGATGAATATAACTCGTTAGACTCGTCGGAACATCGTAGTTGATTACATGAGCCAAATTTTGAAGATCAAGTCCTCGAGATACGAGGTCAGATGCGACAAGTATGGCGACTCTGCCAGAGGAGAACGAGGATATGGTACGTTGCCGAGTCTGGCGAGGAGTTGTTGATGTCAAAACACCAATCTGAGATGATCTTGTTGGGCAGAGAATCGTTACAAGACGACTGAGGCGGACTGCAGTTTCATTGGACTTGGTAAATATCAGAACACCGGAAGTAGCTGGTCTAACTCCGATAGGTGCTTGGGGGTCTGTGTTGTTGGTCTTTGGAGACATCAAATCACTGACTTGGTTGGAATCTCTGTCCGTTGATGCTTGACTTTCTGAATCTGACTCCGAATCGGAAGAATCGGTGTCCGAGGAGTCAGATTCGATGGGAACAACGTTGGAGATGAGGCCTACTCGTCTCAAAAGTTCAATCAGATAGAGTGGCTTGATCGCATCGTCCTCGACCTTCACACCAGATTCTTTCAAAAGAGCTGGCAAGGCAAGTAGGTGTGCAGAATCCATGCCATCACTCGAAGAGCTTTCCAGGACAACAAATTTCGGACGGTAAAGCTTTAGTGAAGTTAATTGTCCAATGTCGCTTGTCATGGTAGCACTCAGAATGACCTTGCGTACGCGATCTCGGATATGCCTTCTGTATGATTGCATCTGATCCATGACAAGATCTAGCCACTGTTGGAAGCTCTGGTCCAACAGTTTGTCTGCTTCGTCAACAACGAGCCAGCGAAGGTGCTGCAGAGAAAATCCGGGTGTAGATTTGAGATGATCAACGAGTCTCCCAGGAGTACATATTAAGATGTCAACCTTCACAAAGGGCTTGATGACATGACCAGGTATCCTAGCTTTATACTCATATTGTGGGAACAGTTCCCTATCTGGCAAAGGTTGATCCGAACTTTCCCAAGCCGCATTTGCAGCTTTCGTTTCGGCGTCGTAGCCCATAGGATCAAACACCAGCTCCTCGCCCATTAGAGCCTCTTGTTCGATTTGTAATGTTTCATTACCAACAGCAGTCCCAATTAGAGGTCGCTGTGAATATCCATCAACCTTGGAGAAGACGGAGGAACAGACATCACAAACCTGTCGTGCTTGAGCAACCAATTCCCGCGTGGGAACAATGATAAGACCCTGAACGCCTACATGTCGGTTGCGACTGATATCCTCAATCATTGGAAGCACATAAGCCAGAGTTTTTCCAGAGCCCGTAGCAGCAGATACAAGGACATCTCCTGATTGTTGTGACTTTCCGGGGAGGAGGAGTGGCAGAACTGCTGCTTGAATTGCTAATGCATCCTTGAACCCTTTCTCTTCAAGAGCAGCAGCAATATCATTTGACAGACCGAGATCTCCAAAGCTCGCAGTCGTGGTGGATGGGACTCGGATCGGTGATGCAATCCAAGGAGGTAGCGAAGCAGTTATTGACGGCTCTGGGGGTTCTGGAATGGGCTCAGGCTGGGGTAATGGCACCAGATCGTGGATTTCCTCCTCTTCGTGAGGTAATGATGGTTCAACCAGAATCTCAGCAGTTGATCCTTCTGGGTCCTTCTTTGCAAGTTTCTCTGCTTTCCGTATGGACTTTTCCCGTTTCTTGAGAAGCTTCCTATGCCGTTTGAAATCATCGCTCTTGTTCTCGTCTTCAGCTTTCTCGTCAAGAACTGCAGCTGGTATCTCGTCAGACTCTGGTTTCGGCGTCTTGATCTTTTTGTGCTTATCGCCAATGCGAAGGGCCAATGCCTCCCCAGATTGCGGTACAGTGCTTCCATCTGAAGGCACTGTGCTCGTCATCTTCTGCTTCTTCTTTTTCTCCTTCTCCTTCGCTTTCTTTTTCTCTTTTCGTCCTTTAGTGGGAGCTGGACTTTGAAAGGGCTCATCTGGTCCATAGTAGTCTGCGGCAGGGATCAAAACAGCTGTTGGTTTGGAAATTTGCTGGAGGTTGGATACGATTTCGGGACCATCCATGTGCTTCCTCTTCTGCTTCTTGGTTTGCACTGGACTGGTCTCGTCATTGTGATCTTCCAGCTCTGCGAGTTTCCGTTTTGGGCTTGGAGGAGGGGATTGCGAATCCGCTCGAGGAGGATTTGGAAGGCTTATGCCGGGCTGCTTCTTCTTGGAGGGAGGAATATATCTTGAATATGTTGAGGAAGCATCTTGTCGAGTCGCTGGCGGGGTAGACATAGAGGATTCGAAGCTGGGTATGATTGCAGGTCGGGCAACAGACGGCAGACTTGTTGCAGGCTTCTTCTTAGATGGCGGAACATACCTCGAGTATATTTGCGAAGCCATTGGGAGATTATTTGTTTCTGTTGCGAGGAATTGTAGTTTATGCTCATCGAAAAAGACTCTCCAGAAAATTTACGGCGCCCCAGATTTTGAACCTGCAGGGGTCGCGTCTCCAAGCTGGAAGCCTCGAATATCTCCAAATGTCTTCATCACAGATCACCACAGCATCACGACGCATAACTTCTCTCCTGTATCGCCTTCCTGATTGCGAGAGGGCCTCCGAAATATGAATCGCGCATTATAGCACTCGATCTTCCAGCCATCCTGCCGCATTGCGCGGCATCCGCATTCACCATGCCGTACAATATAGCTATGGTCAGCGACAATTTCTTCCCCCAACCTGGAGGCGTCGAGAGCCATATGTACCAGCTTTCCACGAAACTTATCGATCGTGGCCATAAAGTGATCATCATCACGCACGCATACGAAGGGCGAACGGGTGTGCGGTATCTCACGAACGGGCTCAAAGTCTACCACGTACCTTTTTTGGTCATCTATCGAGCAACAACCTTCCCAACTGTCTTCTCCTTCTTTCCCATCTTTCGCAATATTGTCATACGAGAGCAGATAGAGATTGTACATGGCCATGCAAGCTTGAGCAGTCTCTGCCATGAGGCTATCCTGCATGCAAGAACAATGGGATTGAGAACAGTGTTCACAGATCACTCGCTCTTTGGCTTTGCGGATGCTGCAAGTATCTTAACGAACAAGCTATTAAAGTTCATCTTAAGTGATGTAGACCATGTCATCTGCGTCAGCCATACATGGTAAGCTATCCTCCACTTGCAGAAGCTGTTTGCTGACCTTCGTAGCAAAGAGAATACAGTTCTCCGTGCCTCTCTCGATCCCCTCATGGTGTCAGTGATTCCAAACGCTGTCGTCGCTGAAAACTTTCGTCCTCTCCACCACCCTTCATATCCTCTATCCGAATTTGGGAATCAGATTGTTCCTCCCCCACAGCGACTTGGTCCCCACGATACTATAACCATTGTTGTTATCTCGAGGTTGTTCTACAACAAAGGCACGGATCTTTTGGTCGCTGCAATTCCTAGGATACTAGCTAGCGATCCCAATGTTCGATTCATTATCGCAGGGTCAGGACCCAAAGCGATTGATCTGGAACAAATGCTGGAAAGAAACGTCCTGCAGGACCGCGTGGAGATGCTCGGACCTGTAAGACACGAGGAAGTACGAGACGTTATGGTTCGAGGTCACATCTATTTACATCCTAGCTTGACAGAGGCGTTTGGAACAGTCATTGTCGAAGCGGCAAGTTGTGGCCTGTATGTGGTCTGCACCCAAGTAGGCGGGATTCCTGAAGTACTCCCCGCACATATGACTGTCTTCGCGAAGCCAGAGGAAGATGATCTGGTCGCCGCAACTGGACGAGCAATCGCAGCTTTACGAGCCAATAAAGTCAGAACAGAGAAGTTCCATGATCAGGTCAAGATGATGTATTCGTGGACAGATGTGGCTGAACGGACAGAAAGGGTCTACGACGGGATATCTGGTGCTATAAGTGAGGCAGCTTTCTATGGTTACGATGCTGCAGACGCTGCCAGCTGGAGCGCTACAAGAGGACGTGCTGGAGTACAGAGCTTTGCCCTCATCGATCGTTTGAAGAGATACTACGGATGTGGGATCTGGGCTGGGAAACTATTCTGCCTCTGTGTGGTAATCGACTACATGCTGTTCCTTTTACTCGAGTTCGTGGCTCCAAGGGATGCTATCGATATTGCGAGGAACTGGCCGAAGAAGGAGAAGGAAGAAAGAATACATAAGCCTCGCTCAGGTTACGGCCGTTGAAAATCGAATGCTCGAGATGGGACAGAGAGGAACATTCGAGACAAGGCCAATTGAAGCCTCGCTCCAGAGCGGCACGGCACGAGACAAAAGGCCGCCACAGCATGCAAGAGTCTGAGAAGACCACACAGCTCGTGCCAACAGTTTTCGTGGGCGTTTATGTGTGCAGCCGCCAATGCTATTGTCTCGCGATTTGACGTATCTGAGTCTGATGTTCGACATTTGATGGCAAGTTTTGATGCATATTTTGTGTCCCAAGCTCACCGCATAATGGAAGTGTGCAAAGGATCAAATACGAATCCCCTTCCTTAAAGGAAGATCGAATTATGCGGTAGAGCAACCTCTCAATCTCGCTTCCTCCTATCCTCTTGCCGTGTTGGTATATCATCGTCAATCTGTGTCGGTGTTTGTAGGCCATAGTTGGATTGTTGGACTCAGGTCAGCCATCTAACGAGACAAGTTTTCTCATTCGATGGTTTCGGGAATGTTACTTTCATTCAGGTTGGTTACTATCACATTTCGAGGACCGGTAGATGTACGATCTGCCGCGCCGTGCGTGTGGATCGGAGAATGATCTCGCCAGCGCTTCTCATCTGATTTGTTATTGGGTAGGATCCAAAAAGCCCCCACGGCGATTCCGTACCTTCCTCGATAGGCGGATATACGAACGTCGGACGCACAATGGCTCTCAAGCATATGCCAGGAGTCAAATTGTATCGAGGCTGTTATCCGCGCTCTCGTTTTCGATCTGGACCCTTTCGTGCTTGAAATAGCAGCCTCTCCGATTTTCTGGATGGTGGCATTTCTGTCATAGGCCGAGTCGTAAGAACTTTTCTCACGCCCCCAATGCAGCCCGTACCACGCTGTATGTGTATGGCGATGTCTCCAAGCGGTGCTCCAATGTTGTCGATCAGACTCTGTTGTGGAATTGATCCACAATCCGTGCCTCCTTATAACCTCGACCAACATGATGTGATGTTGGTACATGATATAGGCGGAGCTGGTGGTTCTCAGTTGTCCCAAATGCTTTCGGTGACTTATTGCTCATTGACTTTTCACTTCTAATTTCACCAACGCTGGCGTGTCACATTAGAGACGATGTCTTACTTTGAGCAGCAAGATGTGGCAATACAAGATACACATGTGGATGTCGAGCGTGCATTTCCCAAGCCCAGCGTCCATGACAGTGAGAAGACCGAGTCGACGACGGACATCACAAAGGCGTCCATTCAAGATGCTGCTCTCGAGTTCGATGCATCCCTCCCAATGAATTGGCCTTTGCTCAAGAAGATCTTCAACATCGCGGTCCCGTCTTTACTCTGCTTTGTGGTGTACGTTTTTCTCCCCTTGAAGCTATATCAAATTTGACAACGATCAGTGCTTTTGGTAGTTCTATCTATGCTCCTGCCGTTCCAGACGTTATGAGATCGTTCAACGTCTCCGAGACCACCGCAATTCTTCCTCTCACAACCTACGTGCTAGGACTAGCTTTTGGTCCTATGCTTTCAGCTCCAATCTCTGAGACTTTGGGGAGACTGGGCACGTATCGCTTCACAGTACCAATCAGTGCAATTTTTACACTGGGTGCAGGATTTGCTCCTAACATCCACGCTCTCTGCGCGTTGAGATTCTTCGCGGGATTCTTTGGCGGAGCCCCTCTACCTGTTGCTTCTGGCAGCGCCGCAGATTTGTTTCGGCCAAAGGACTTTGCCATCGCTGGAGCATTCATCCTCTACTTTCCTTTCCTTGGTCCTGCGTTTGGACCAGTTGTGGGGGGTTTTGCTACGCAGGACAATGGCTGGAAGTGGTCGCAATATGTTCTTGCAATTACCATGGTCGTTCTGTGGATTCCTGTTTGGTTCCTGGAGGAAACCTATCTGAAAATCATCCTCGCACGGAGGAAACAAAAGCTCGAAGCTGTTGAGCAGCAGTCCAAACCGCCAGCGTCGAAGTTACTCTTTGGAATCCTTTTCATCACACTTCTCAGGCCGGCTAAGATGCTAGTCACGGAGCCAATCGTCACCTTCCTCAGTTTATATGTCGCATTCGGATTTGCAGTCGTCTTCACGTTCTTCTCGAGCGTGCCGTATGTTTTTGGATTGGTATATGATTTTGATCGTGGGAACAGTGGACTTGTATTCTTGTCCATTGCTTTAGGCTGTACAATTGCTGTACCTACTGTCATCATTCTGGATAGAATGACTTACCAGAAAGTAATGCGCTTGACTCCTGAAAAGGTTGCTCCAGAATTGAGATTGTGGCCTGCAATGTATGGCGCCATCGGGTTGCCTGTATCGCTGTTCTGGTGAGCATCTTCTAGGATCTGGGAGAGAAAGAAGAGGGGTGAACTAATGTCATCTAGGTTCGCATGGAGTGCGAAGAAAGACGTTCATTGGATTGTGCCCATCATTGCAATGGTACCATTCGCTTGGGGAAATCTCTGCATCTATGTTGGTACTTCTCCCTAGACTGAAGCCCTTCACTGACAGACTCTAGGTGAGCACATCAATGTACCTGATTGATACCTATGCAGCTCTCACGGCAGCATCGGCGATTGCTGCGAATGGATTATTGAGATACATTCTGGGTGGAACTTTCCCATTGTTCACCATTCAAAGTATGTTTTGAGGTTTTCACAATTCGAATAGTTGCTAATGAAACAGTGTACGAAAAGCTTGGAATTGGCTGGGCCACGAGCCTGTTGGGATTCTTTTCGTTGGCTATGCTACCAATACCTTGGGTATTGTACATTCTAGGCCCTAGGATTCGTGGGGCAAGCCACTTCGAGACGAAGAATTCTAGTTGAGATGGAACGCCCTTCATACTACAGCTATACAGCTACAGGGAATCTTGAGGATCGAAGATAATAATGTTCCACGACTGCCAGCTCTTGTCTTTGTTGGAAGCCCAACTCCACGGCAGAAATTAGGCGTCACGTGGGCATGCATGTCGGATCAACGGAATCGTTCTTCTTTCCCGCTCTCCAGTTCAGTCAGTCTCACCCAAACCAAATAAAAGCCGATTCGTTATAAGGAATGTCATGAAGCTTCCTTTTGTCTGTACTATTTATTTGAAGGGAAACAACAATGACTAATGGGCCTCGGTTTCTTTCTCAAATACTTAGCGCCTGTTGACTTCCCCGCCTTTTTGGGATGAAAGTATTAAGCTTAACCTGCAGATGATCTTCGCAAGGCCTAACTACAAAAGAATTCGGACATCCAGCCACCACTGGTGCTCCCCTCATTTGCAATACCGTTTTGTACACCATGCCATTCGAAATTGGGAAGGTGTGGTACTTTCATCCGTATGTGGCTGAACCGGCATTCGTGCCTAGCGTCTGTACCCTGGGCGTGACGTCTTGTCCGCTGGTGTTCTATACAGTATAGGATGCACGTACGCGAATCGATCTCCCCTAAGCACCCCACGGTCGTAATCTTGCCTCGTCTCCCCAGCCCGGATCTCTGGTACACCGAGGAAGATCTGCGTCCTTTTTCTTGGTGGGTGGCTATTTCCGTGTCTAGTGACCATTACCCCAACGAACGGTCGATGTCATGTAGAGATCTACAGTCTGGGTGTCTTTGAAATCTGCTCTATTATCTGCATAGCAAGCAGACCGAGGCTCAATTCTTCGGAGCTACGCTCCATAGCTGTACCGTTTGACGACTCCGCTCGAGGCCATTATTATTTATCTTGTCTGTGATTGGTAGCACTGGATGGCGACTAAATCAACATGAACGGACAACGTCCATATATGAGTTATAGTTAACTTTGACTGACTCCCATTTTCAACTTCTCAACACAGTTGTGTCTATCGCCCGCCATGAAGTCCTCATTTTCCCTTGCAGCTCTCGCCTTCTCGGCAACGAAAGTGGTTGCCTTTCCCTCGAGCATGTTCCATGTCGACATAAGTGAAGAAGAAAAGCGATCTATCGCAGGAATTGCTGCTACAATCGAAGCTGGCGCCAAGAACAAGAGGGCCGGCACTCCACTCGCACCAGGCTTCTCTGCATCACAGCAATATGTTTCAACTACTGGGGAGTATGCTTTCGTAGCCCCTGGGCCAACCGATTTACGAGGGCCCTGCCCTGGGCTGAATGCTATGGCCAACCATGGCTACATTCCACATAATGGCGTTGCTACAATCACTCAATTTATTCAGGGAACCTACGACGGTAAGCTCATTTTCCTTAGAAGAGAAACGGTTTCTGACATACAGTAGTTTTTGGCATGGGATTGGATCTTGCGACGTTCCTTGCTGTGTACGGTGCGGTATTTGATGGTGATCTCACCTCCTGGTCCATTGGTGGACCTCCACCAGCCGGACTTTTGAGTTCAATTGGCCTTCTTGGAACACCGCAGGGTATCTCAGGCTCTCATAACAAGTATGAATCCGATGTTTCTCCTACCAGACCAGACCTATACGAGTAGTAAGTCAAAGATTATGAACTCCTGTTCATTGTCCTAAAAGTATACTGACAATCAAAAAGTGGCAATGACTATAAAGTCATCCTTAGTCAGTTCGAACAGCTGTATTCCTCACCTCTTGGCCCGAACGGCTACGATCTCACTACCCTCACTCCGTTCCGTGCGAGCAGATTCCAACAATCCATCGACAACAATCCCCACTTCTTCAATGGACCATTCTCCGGTGTTGCCGTGCAGCCAGCAGCCTACACCTTTATCTATCGATTCATGTCTAACAAATCAGCTGAGTATCCAGAAGGATATCTTGATGGCGACGTCTTGAAGTCATTCTTCTCTATCACTGGCGAGCCCGGAAACTTCACGTGGACCGAAGGCAACGAGCGTATTCCCGATAATTGGTACAAACGTGCCATTGGCGATGAGTACACCATCCCGTATTTCAACGTCGATCTCTTGGCTGCCGCCCTCGAGTACCCACAATTCCTGGATGTTGGTGGTAACACCGGTACAGTCAACACATTCACAGGAGTCGACCTTCAGAATGTCACCGGAGGAGTGTATGACTTGTCGACCCTAGCTCAGGGCGATAATGCCCTGTGCTTTGCATACCAATTTGCTCAGCAAGCTGCTCCTGATATTCTCAAGGGCCTGTTCTCTAGTATCACACCACCTCTGTCGAAACTGAACTCTGCACTTGCGAGTGTCTTTTCGGAGTTGAGCTGCCCGCAACTGGAGGCGATTGATACTGCGCAATTTGCAAACTATCCAGGCTCTACTGGCTCATACTAAGATCGAATCAAGGAATAAATGGTATCATGAATATATATCTCAATGGAACACAATACGGGTGTCAGGAAGGGTGATTTGAAGAGCACAAGGGTTACTTATCACGATTCCCTATAATTGTATATATGATCTTTAGCTATCGACAATATCCTGTCCTTTAAGCCTCGTTGATGATGCAACCCAAAGCTCGCTATGCATATATCCCAGTATCTCAATATGCTTCAAACCTTCTCCGAAACCACATCATTCCCACCATGATTTAGCTCGTTCAGTCTTAATCTCCTTTGTCTATCCCGCTCCAATTCTGCCAGCTCCTTCGCCTTCTTCTCCTTCAGATAACGACAGAATTTGCTCCCTTCACGGATTCTGTCCCCCTTCCATAGAAACAGAAATGGTATGACGCACATACCCATGCTCAAAAAACCCAATAGGCTACTCGCCCAAGCAACGCCCAGCTTGTCATACATTGGCGCAGCAGCAAAGGGTAGTACAGCACCAGCCAAGCTTCTAGTGCAACTCGCCGCTGCCATCGCACTCGCTGCGAAGATTTCATACGCATCCGTAAGATAGTTCAACAATGCCATGAAAATCAGTATAAATCCAATGCCGAAGGGGATGCCTGCAAGCATGGGCACCACAAATGGAATCGATGTCCTGGAAGTCCAGCCGAGCCAAAAGAGGGCCAGAACGATCATAGGTCCTCCGATACAAGCAAGCGGTAGGCGTCTTGACTCCTCTTTCAATGTCCACGGTTTATGGAGAGCTTGTGCTTTCCGAAGAAAGGCATCGTACCAGAGGAACACGGCAATGGATGCGAAAGCTCCAACACCAATCGGTAGGAACATGAGACCTGAAACCCCGAGAGACTGACCATAAATGCCCTGGAAGACGATTGGAAATGCTGAGAAGAATATGTAAAATATGCCATAAGCAAGTGAGAGGTAGATACACGTAGCCGAAACGATCAGCTCGAAGAACAGCATCCGAAGAGGTCGGGTAAGAGTGACAGTTACCATTTGCTTGACGCCCTTCTTCTCGAGTTCGATGGGTGCGAAGATATTTTGATTCCCAGTCGTTTTTCGAAGACGGGCTGCTCGTTTGGCTAGAAGAGTTGGGCCATATGTCTCTGGAAGGAAGATCATTGGGATCCATGATGCGCCGGCGACAATGAGGCCTATCCAGAATACCCAGCGCCACCCAAGTGCAGGGGCAACAAACCCAGAGATCAGTGGTGCGAGCAATGGTCCCACGCATGTTCCCTTTGATTAAATTAGTTATTGTATAAGTGATATATGCTGCAGAAGAATGGAAGATTGAAGTTTGGGCACCGTCCGAACTTTTAGCGCCCTTGCCGAATTGAGAAGTGAAAATACATGACTTACACCCATGAAAACAGCCATTGCACGACCTCTTGTGACAGGGTCATTGTATATATCTGCGTACACGCCACCGATTACAGTAATGGGACTACTTGCACTAATCCCAGTAAGGACTCTGAAAATCAGAAATGCCGGAAAGTTTGGAGCTAACGCGCAAGCAAGTGTCCAAACGGTAAAAGTGAAGAAGGTCGAAGTCATGATGATTCGTCTTCCAAAGGATTCGGAGAGCGGCCCGAATAGGAGAGGTCCCAAGACATAGCCAACAAGATACATGGAAATTGGTAGGACTTCGGTGTAAGATGATGCGAGGTGGAAGTATTCGCTGATAATGGGAATGGCATTCGATGGTAGGGACGATCCCATGGTACTGTTAACCACGACAACCATTCCGATGAAGACTATCGTAGCTTTTTTCGCCTTGTCCCTTCAAGTCAGCTATGGACAAGAGTCACTATAGGATTATTTCGCACCGATGAAAAATTGTAGGGATTTTCTGGATCTTCATGATCCCAAGAGATAACTTTGCGTTCTGGTGAAGTGACGCTTGACGAACTCGATCCTGGGGAAGCTATTTCTTTGTTGTCGGCTTCTTCTAGGTTATACCTCTCAGTAGCATCAGTCTCGTCTACACGAGATACTCCTGATATTACACGAGAGAGTATGTTTGGCCCTTAATTGAACCGTCAGTACTGGAGATGGCTTTTTACTTGAGAAATCACATACGGTGTAATGGTGGGGTAGAGACAAGCCCCGCATCGCTCGCCTCTCTGTCTCTTGGCAACTCGAGAGTTTTGACATAGGGAGCCATCTTAGCACAGAATCTCCTCAGCTTTGCGCAAAGTTAAAGTCATCCATGGATGGAAAGCAAGAGGCCAAAAAATAAAGAGTCTCCATCTTGCACAAGGAGAATAATTGATTCAGGTTCCACTTGTGCAGTGCCGTGCCCGAAATGCGGTCCCGCCAATGGACTTTGATTCGTCAATGTTGGTGCTATGCCGCAATTCGAGCTCAAGAATGATAATTATCCCCGCAACCGAGTCGATCCTGAAAGCCAAGCCAGAGTTCTCATTGGTGGCAGAGCTGCATAGAGTGCCGATAGCCGTGAAAATACTGCGGCTTTGAGGGAAGCACTTGAGCACTTGGTTGCTTTAGTACCAGCGGCTTTTGCTAGTCTGCGGAGACTAAATGTTGGGGATTGACACCAGAGGCTCGTGGAGGATACAGCGGAAAGAAAGAAGTTCACTCCAGATATCTCCAATCGTCTGTCACTGTGGTCAGGAGGGAAACAGAGCGGTCGATGGGAACGATGCGGTCCTTACAATTGAAAGGTTACAATAGATACAGCAAATCGTTCTTGCATGCTTGTGTCACAGCAACATATCCCATGCAAAAGCGGCCCGACCAGTATGAAAAAGCACAAGCCGATACCGGTCACAGTCTCGAAAGGAACTCTGCGCCTCGGATACGTAGAGATCCTCAATTCGCACCTATATTGCCGACTTGCAACCAAAAGGAAGTTCGTAATGGGTATCATTGTATTGCCGAATGCTATGTCTCCAAGTTGATGCTCCTCCCAAATCTCGCATAGAGCTGGACCTTCAACTCTGTCATTTCCTCCCTGATTGTGCTGAGCTTTTCTTCCACAACGGTCACATCCTCCTCGATTTGACTTGTTGACGCAGACAGTAATTCTTGCACTTTGGGTAGAGGGAGAGAGATGAAAGAGTCGCCGATTTTGTAGCTATCACAGAGTCAGCTTGCGATGCTCGGGTTTGTGTTCTAGATCAAGCGCATACGGTATGTTGTCATCCTCGTCTGCAAGTTCCAACTCGTTCGAAATTTCTTCCAAGTCCTCCTTCTCCTTCTGCGAAACACGGGTCAGAACGTAGGAATATTGAAGATGACAAAATACATACATGCTTTGCTTGTAGTTCTTCCTCCAGTGTTGTCTCTCGCTGGTGTAGTCGACTGAACTTATTGATCTTGTCTTGATCCTCCCTCCGAACCTCCACCTCATCTCCTGCGGCAGCCGCCTCGTCCTCCTTGGAAAGCTGCAGGCGACAGTCAGTATCTGCGAAGCAATTAGGAACTGATCTGGGAGTCGGGACATACCATGCGACGTTCCATGGTTGCGCAGATGGATGTTGATTGCAGCTTGGGACTTTTTCAAGTACCAGAATATCAACAAATCCGTGATCACGTGCAGACGAACCCCTCCACGGGCGCCTTTTACACCATTCGCGCAGGTCGCGCAGTTCTCGCTCGCTCGCTCTCTCGCTTTTCATCGAACAACACGCTTTCTACATCGATACAGGCAATACAACAACACATTGTGCGTGTGAAAGTACAGAGACGGCTGGTTACATTTTTCCTTCGCCTCAATGTCACCTCTATCAACCAACCCCTATTCGCCAGTGCTCTCTTCTCGGCCATGCATAACCTTACAGCAGCAGCAGCTCCCCTCCCACAAAAGCTTCCATGCATCACTTCTCTCGCATTTGCTGCATGTCGCAGTCTCCCATTGACTCGTGCTCCAGCATCCTTTCCTGTCAGCTTGACTCTCTCAGCAAACAATCATCTTTCGACTTCTCTGACCACAACCACATCCACATCCACATCACCGAAACTCAAGTCAGTCAGCACGGCCAAATTCCGCGGATCTCCCAGCCACACGCCTGATTTGGGTATTGCGGCGGCCATCGTTGTTGATAAGACTTCTGAACGTTCGAGTCGAGACTGTTCAACCAACGTGCACGGAGTATGGCTTCGATTCTCCAACTTAGCCCTCTTCTGACCACAGTATACTATTCCCTCTCGAGATATAATTTCCCTTTGTTTACCCCTCTTCTGTCTTGCTCGTGGACCCCGTTATCAAATATTCTGCTCTGCTATATTATCACGAATATCTGCCTATTGGGTCCCAATCCGATTGCGCCCAGTGCTATGGTTTGAAAGCTGCTACAATGACTTCAGACGTAGGCTAGAACGTCTGATCTTGACCATTTTCATCATTCAACTGTCCAGCGTCAGACAAGCTTTTCCTTGCCCGTCCACAACCCCGGACTTACCCCTGCTACCCAACGTTGTACTGTACTCGCTATCGAGCTGCAGCTCTTATCAACCCGCAACTTTCCATTACACATATCCAATGAGCTCACTCAATCGGACCTGGGACATCGATAGTCGCACAGGATCAGGATCAGGATCGGATCATGGGAATGCTTATTTATCTTCCTGTCTCATCCCAGCTCTCTACATTTTCACGTTTTCCCTCTCTTTGCTGCCTCAAGCTCACAGTGCCAGCGACTCTGTTTGCTTAGAAGCCATATAGTGATACATATCAGCTATCTGATAGATTCCTTTTCAAAGCCTTCATTGACTGTCCAATCCTTGGAGATCCACAGCGCCATACAAAGTTGTTGCGTGCTCCGCGCTGGTGACTGAAGCGATACAATAATATAATGGCAGACAATAAAGATGTGTCTCCAAATCTGGAGAAGACTGTCAGCCGCCATTCGGCAACTGCCCCTCCACCAGAATTGTTAGCCAGTGATGCGGATGCGGAGCTTCTTGGTAAGTATATACCTTCGATGCTGGAAGCTACTAATCATCTTCCCAGCCAAGCTTGGATACAAGCAAGAACTCCGCCGAAATTTCACCATGATCGAAGTCTTCGGCATTGCATTCTCTATCATGGGACTTCTGCCTTCAATCGCTTCCACTCTTTCTTTCTCGATCCCTGCAGGACCTGTCGGCATGGTTTGGGGCTGGTTTCTAGCATCGATGTTTATATTTGTGGTCGGAGTGGCAATGGCAGATCTTGGTTCGGCAATGCCAACAAGTGGAGGATTATATTGGTGGACACACTTCTTCGCCTCACCTCGGACTCGCAATGCATTGAGTTTCTTGGTGGGCTATTCAAACACGTTAGGCTTGGTTGGAGGTCTTTGCAGTATTGATTATGGATTTGCCTTGATGTTTTGCTCTGTGTAAGTCTGCCTCTCTTTCCATGAGCTCTGTCACTGATTAAATAGCATTGTCATATCAAGAGATGGAAATTGGACACCCTCGAATGGCGATGTCTAAGCTGTCTTCCTAGGTTGTGTCTTACTCCACGGACTCCTAGCATCAACTCTATCTAAGATTATGGGGAAGCTTCAGACCGTCTTCGTGGCCATGAACCTTATTTTGATCGCAGCAACCATCATTGCGCTTCCAATTGGAAAACATCAACGTAATGACGCACATTACATTTTTGCTCAAACGGAGAACCTCACCACATGGCCAACAGGATGGGCATTCATGCTTTCTTGGCTCAGTCCGATTTGGACAATCGGCGCATTCGATTCTTGTGTTCACATGAGTGAAGAGGCTGCCAATGCCGCGAAGGCGGTACCATATGGGATTTTAATGTCAATTGGATCGTGCTGGATCTTGGGATTTATCATCATGATCGTCCTCGCAGCATGCATCAATCCAGATCTCGAAGCTGTTCTAGGCTCATCTTTTGGACAGCCTATGGCGCAAATATATTACGATGCCATCGGCAAACACGGAACTCTTGGATTGATGTCTCTTCTCATGATTGTCCAATTCCTCATGGGACTTTCGATTTTGGTTGCTGCCTCTCGCCAAACTTGGGCCTTCTCTAGAGATGGTGCTCTGCCATTCTCCAGCTTCTTCAGAGTCATCTCCCAGAAGATGGGCTACATCCCGCTTCGTTGTGTCTGGGGGTGTGTATTTTGCGCCGCCATTCTCGGACTCTTGTGTCTCATTGCGCCAGCAGCTGCATCGGCTTTATTCTCTCTTGCCGTTGCAGGAAACAATTTAGCTTGGGGAACACCAATCTTTTGCCGTCTTGTCTGGGGTCAGCATAAATTCGTCCCTGGACCTTTTTACACTGGCGACATGTTCTCTCGGCCGATCGCGTGGCTAGCAATTCTCTTCCTCGTCTTTGGCATTATCTTGGCAATGTTCCCAGTGGGAGGTCCAGATCCAACGCCACAGACCATGAACTACACTGTAGTGATTAATATGGCAGTTTGGGGAGGAGCCCTGGCATATTACTTTATCGATGCGAGAAAGTGGTTCACAGGACCGAAGATTACAGTTGATAGAGATACTCTGACTGAGGAGCAGCAGCAGGCCATTGCAGATGAAGGTCTGGAAGTTCAGATCAATGATGGGCCTTCACCCGTTGAGTCCAATGGAGGGGATATAGAAAAGATGGCCGAGAAATAGGAATTCGGATGTAGTTTCCCTTGTCGGCCTACCTTTGGTGATCAACACCTTTGAAATATCGAACTTCATCATTGTACCTAAAATTGGGTGTATGTACATTCTACACGATATTCGTAAGCTACCGATAGGCAACAATCCCATCTAACAAGTCGGTTAAAAGAGGACCAATCTTGTGGCGTTGCCCCTTCCTATCACTTCAAGCTAGTCGTCATTAGACTTGGCAATCACCTTCCCTTTTCGTGTTAGTATCAGTATCGATTTACGCATATCACTAAAGCATCCCGTTGTTCACCCCACAGCAATAGGAATTTTTACTCGAGTCTTTTTTATTTGAAGTCATTGCCATCTGCTTCGGTAGTCGAAGTCTTTAATATGACTCGACTCTCATTCCGTCCAGTGGATCCGACAGCGTCAAAGCCATTTCCAGTTGCGAATGCAACCTTGCCGTACTGGCGAACAGAACACCATGAGATTGATAGTCACAGAAGCACTGAAGACCTGCCTACAGAATGCGATGTTCTTATAATTGGGTCCGGCCTAGCTGGAGCTTCTACCGCATATTTTCTAACTGACGACAACCCTTCCCCTCCTCGGATCGTGATGCTAGAAGCTCGAGAAGTGTGCTCAGGCGCAACAGGTAGAAATGGTATAATGGTCTCTATCTTTTTGCTTGAGTGAAGTCTTTGTGGATCTGAGAACTGACTGCTAAAGGCGGTCATTGTTCCATGGGATCTCCAGCCTTCATTGACTCAGTGATTCAAAAGCATGGCCCTGAAGCTGCAAAAGAACTTTTTCTATTCACGGCAGCGCAGATATATGCCATGAAGCATGTTGTGGAGAAAGAAAAGATCGACTGCGACTACATGCTGGATCGTTTTGTTGAGACTTTCTTGAATCAGTCAGATGCCGATAACATCAAGGAAACTTACGAGGCGCAATTGAAAGCTGGCCTTGATTATATCAATGATGTGGATATTGTGAACCCGAAGTATGTTGAAAAGGTACGTCTACCAAGTTGTATTCTTTCTTTCCATATCCAAATTTCCCGTGGAGCTACCCATCTTCCAGTGCTGATGCTATAAACAGATAACTGGGATCAAAGGTGCCAAAACAGCAACAAGTGTCACAGGAGCACAGCTATGGCCGTATAAACTCGTCTCCAGCCTTCTCGCGCGTATTTTGGAAAAGGGTTGTCTCAATCTCCAGACACACACTCCCGTTCATTCAGTCTCTGTATCACCAAAAGGAATCAGCATAGTCAACACGCCACGTGGATCGATCCGTGCTGGGAAAGTAGTCTTTGCAACGAATGCCTATACATCTGGAATTCTTCCACTATACGCCGATAAAATTATCCCTACGAAAGGAACCAATTCGCATATTTCTGTGCCAAAGGATACCAAATTCCCACCTCCTCACTTGAACTTTACTTATGGAATCACTTACGAACCGCCTCAGACGAGAGATTATCTTATCCCAAGACCTGATGGTGGGGTGATTTGCGGTGGTGCAAAGCACACATTTTATGATGCCAAGGAGCTTTGGTGGGGTAACTTCGATGATAGTACACTGTTCCCCATGGCTTCCACGAGAGACCATTTTGAAACGGTCATGCAAGACAATTTTGTGGGGTGGGAAAAGAGTGGTGCTAAAGTAGACAGAATATGGACTGGAAGTAAGCTCCCTCTTCCCCTTCTCGTCAATCTTCTCCAAGCCTCCTGGCCTTGGTAATGTACACAGCTGACCCTATCACCAGTAATGGGAAATACAGCCGATTCCTTTCCTCACGTCGGACAAGTTCCAGGCCAGCCGAACCACTTCATCCTTGCTGGATTCAATGGTTCCGGCATGTCGATGATATTCTTGACAGCGAAAGGGGTTGCAAAGATGGTGAGGGATGATGTGGCCTTTGAAGAAAGTGGGATTCCAAGGCTCTTTAAGACTACTGAGAGCAGGCTGAAGCTTGAGGTAAAACCATAGTGGGAAAGATCAATAGTGTGGTACCTAAAACTGTGGCTTCTTCTTTGGATACATATCATTAATCTGAAGGAAAACGTGCGACCACCACGCTGTCGATTCAGGCAATGCTAATATCGACCACTGACTGTTGTCTAGTCTGTATCAGCTCTTTACAGAGCTAGGTACACAAATCAAATAAAATCCGGACTCCTTTTACGAAATGGTAATACTATATTTGTATTTGACTCTGTATCTTCTTCTCCACAGCCGAATTCGTCCAATTAATTGACGGAGTGCTCCTTCACGTGACTGATCACCCCTCTCTTTCGATGTCCAGCTCACCTGTCTCACGTAAATTTGCTATGTCTGCAGCTTATCTCTCTTCAGGCACGACGAGTTGAGGATTCTGGTCAAAATCTTTTACGAGGTGCTCGTTAACCTTAAGGCTACAGCGCGGTCAGTTGGCGTGGTCAGTGAGTGGCCCCTGAAACATACCAATCAGGAATACTCCTCCGAACGCCCAACTTTCATGCCAATATTGAAACTCGAGGCCCTGATCAGCTATTCAATCATCTCTGAGTATCCAAATGCTGAGCCGCCTCCAGCAGGCAGCTATGCAGACCTCTCAGCCCTCCACAACTGCCCCGCGTCTCGAACATGACGCCCCCAAGCTGCGATCGTCTTGCAATGGCTGTGGAACAGCCAAAGTCAAATGCGATCGTGGTCAACCGCAATGTACTCGCTGCAAAACGCTGAACTTATCTTGCGTCTATGAGAGGTCACGCAAACATGGGAAGCCTCCACGAAAGAGGCCTGAGTCGACTCTTGGTGGAAACACCGATCGCGAGAGGGATATTCCAACAATGGCTACTGATTCTCGAAACGCCAACGAACCCACAGAGGCTAATTCCACCGACAGAAATACCGATATGCTCTCAACATTTCATAGCACTCAGCATGAACCAAACCGCTTTGAGCTCACCTCTGCCTTTTACCCCTTAATTCCACAGGACGAATGGCCTCAGATTGACGGTTTCGGAGCTAGTCTAGATATTTTCGCAGCCTCTACCATCGATCCGACGTTCAACTTGAATATAAGCTTCGGCAAAGACAAGTCCAACACCCACAGCTGTCCACGAGAATCATACGAAATCTTTCGAGACCTGATCTGTCCGACCGAATTTCTACATGCCCCAGAATCAAATTTTGACACAGTGTCAGCCCAGTTCGATCAAGTGCTTCACTTCAACAGAACTGCCATCGAACGTCTCACTCGGATCTTAAATTGTCCTTGCTCCAAATCTGGTCATCGGGCTATGGTTCATGCATCCAGTATTTCTCGGACACTCATCTGGTATCAGCAGGCTGCTGGCTGGCCGTCCACCTTGCCTGTTTCGTCACCCTCTTGTCATGTCTCTTCATCACAGTCTCCATATTCGCCATCAAAGACTGCAGCCGACTCCGGTCCACCCTCGCAAGTTCAAGCTACTGGATTTACAGTGGAGCATGTTCCTCTTTCTGTTGGAACGTTCAACATCGAGGACCAAAACATGCAGACAGCTTTCAGAAACCAATTGGTTCTGTGCGAGCTCAAAAGATTGGCCAACTTGATTGACTTATTTAGTCGCCAAGATTCGGGAGAGCCCGCTGCCATCGGTCTGGCGAGTCTATCATCTCACCTGGGGTCATGGCTCCGGGGTGAGCATGCAAGGACTGTTAGAGTACTAAGATCCAGACTTACAGCACTCAACGAGAGCATGGGATTTTGATACGTGCAGAGTTGTTTGGGATGGATGTATATTAACTACAGAAAACATTCTAGTAGCTGGCCTCCTGATGTACCTAGAATTTGATATAATACAGGATGATTCTGAATATTGATACCAATGAACATTATCACCACATCCCGAACATTGTGCAGCTTCTACGCATGGCATTCCCGAGACGTGGAAGTCTCGGCTCTACCAATCGGATCCAACCTTCGCTTACCGAAAGTCAACTCCCATTGGCCAATGTCGAGAGAAAGTAAGTGAACTCTATGCTTTGGGACAGAGGGTGAGAAGATTTCTCGCCATATGTTCCGTGTTGTGCATATAAGTCCCTCTCTCTCAATCTTTAATTCCTATTGTCATCTCTACTCAGATCATTCAGCTTTTCGTATCTACTTCTTTTCTATCACTCTCTGAATCAAGGTTCAGCACAACAGACAATGGTAAAGATCGCAGTAGCTGGTGCCACGGGAGGTATGACAACCTCTATTCCAAAGCATTATTTACTTAGGGCTTGTACTGACATTCTGTTGTAGAGCTCGCTCGAGAGGTCATCGACGCCTTGTTCGCTACAAAAAGGCATGAGATAACTCTTTTGACCAGAAAGGTGAGCATCGGCTATCAAACGTTGTGCTTCTATCATTCTGAAGCGACCTAGAATGCTCCTGTAGGTGACAGCACTTCTGGCATTACTTGGCGCACTGTCGATTATGGGGACAAGAGCAGCCTCCGCGAAGCTTTGCTTGGCATTCACACTGTCTTGTCCTTCATCAATCAGCAGACACCTGGACAGTCAGGCAGCTCGCAAATAAACTTGGTCGATGCATGTATCGCTGTGGGAGTGAAGCGGTTTGCACCGAGTGAGTATGGGAGCGACAGCAAAGAAGACTTGCCTTTCTGGGCAGGAAAGACGAAGGTCCAGGCATATCTTGAGAGGGTGAATAAGGATGTGAAGGTGAGTGTTCAGCCTACATTACATTCTTTCCTGCTCGTTATGTTCTGAAGCAAATGTCCAGGTCCTCGAATACACTCTTTTCCAGCCAGGTCTCTTCCTCGACTATCTTGCATCCCCACACAAAACAGCAAAGTACGTCACTCCGCTGGATGCTTTCATTGATTTCCAGAACCGGCGTGCAATTGTTGTCGAGGGACATGAAGATGCGGTCATGACCCTGACTACCGTTCAAGACATTGCTGGCATTGTGGCAAGAGCCGTTGATGTTGATGGCGAATGGCCTGTCAAGGGTGGTATCATGGGCAACAGAGCCACAGTGTCGGAGATCATTGCAATCGGCGAGAAAGTTCGAGGTTTGTCTTTCCCTGCACCCAAAGTAAACCCGTCATGTGTTGATACATAATGTGGAAATCTAGGTGGCCCTTTTGCTATTGATAAAGTCAAACACGAAGATCTTGAAGCTGGGGTTCTCAAGACCTCTTGGGGCCTGGGGAAACGCCATCCCAGCTTGACTGCGGAACAGCAGGATCAACTCGCAGGTGTATTGAAGGGTGTTCTTGTTGGAACTCTGTTGAGCTGTGTAAAGGGTGCGTGGGATGTTGGGGATGGATGGAACCAGCGTCTACCAGACTATGCGTTCTCAAAAATGGAGGGATTCTTGGCTACGGTGTGGGAAGGGAAACCTTGAGAGATGTTGGTCTAAACTCGTGTCAACAGTTCAAGGCTTGCGCCTTGACGGGCACGTCATTGTACCGAGGGTAGAATCCGGGACAAAAATCAAAGTTTCACGATTGATGCCTAAAAATTTCAAAGCAATGAAATACTTAAACTTGTGATATGAAGGGTTGGTTTTGGTGGTGAGAGGCCCAGGGTCATGGTGTGCTTCACGATTTGGAAGAGAAAGCAAGTAACAACAGTACTGGGACGAGGTTCGAATTCAGGAACCCGGCGAGTGTTGAGTGGTAATAATAAATTAAAGGTAATTTTGTGTGTACTCCAAATATCGCTCCTCCCATGCTTCCGTTGCTCCGAAATAAATTAATCAGACAGAATAGCTCCTCGATCCGGCGATCGGTGAGCGAGACCGAGTACTTGACTCGAGCCTAGATTGGTCCTCGACCACTCATGATCTCTACAGCTGATAACCTCAATAGGTGATAACGTCAACAGCTGGTACCCTCAACCGCCATACCTCGAATATGCGTGCTTGCAGCGAGCAGCGTTTCCACATCATGAGCTTCATCCCTGGCATACGGATTGCCATGCCATTCATGGTATTCGTTATCTCGTATACTGCGAACTCGCCTGACTGCTCGTCACACTCGCAACCCTCGGTCTGGTGTTTGCTATCCCGAACAAACTGTCTCCGCTACCGCTCAGGCTCGACTCATATTGTGGCGGTTGGCGATCCTTAATCTGCTGCTCGAGTTCTCTTAAACGTCTGTACTCCGCTCGAACTTCCTGGTCCTTATCTCGCAATTCACGCACGGATTGGCGACGTTGTCTCCACCTGGCAGACACCGTTAGTGGATGAAAGAAACAATCGTGGAATGAAGTCTGCGCATGTTGACACGAAGAACGAAAATAGGAAACAGAAGTAGGAAGAGAAGGGACTTGATATTCCCATAAGGATGGAGGACGTGAGTGACAACGGCAAGGGTAAAAGTCACACTCAAAACAAGTGATGGAGACATACTGAACTATCGAACGAGTGAGATAGCCAGTGTCCATTGACCTGAAAGCCCCCAGTCTGAAAGCCCTTAACCTGAAAGTCGGGGGGTTTTCAATAAGAGGACATTGCTGCTGTTGATATAATTGCTCGGGATCATCGTCGATCGAGATCGAGTATGACGAGATATCGATACTGATCGATTCCTCACCAGCATACACTATAAAGTCCTGTTCATACATCGTCGCTGGGCTTGCTTCAATATCCCACATAAAGCACTCTTGTAGTCGAAGGCCAACACGCAAGCCAAGCTCCTCAACCACTCGGTCATGCCACCACTGATAGCATGGACAACCTTGTTCTCTGCAAAGCAGAGAATTCGTGTGCTATTTTCGTCGGGACCTTAATCGCCAACACATGAGGGTAAATTGATGACAACGTCACACAAATGAGAAAATGGGACTCACTTCTTTAGAACCATGGTGACAGTAACGCTGGGACCAATCTATAGCAGCGCCTCAGAAAATGAATTGACGAGCGGGGCCGAATGGGGGATTTTGATTCGTATTTCAGCGCGACGATGGACGACGGTCAAGGACTGCCAAGCTTTGAAGACGATTATGGAAAGATACTGAGGGGCTCGATGTTTCGTCGGTTATGATATTGAAGTTGGTCCCAAATATTTCCTATTCAGCGACACTTTCGAATGTTCTAGTTTGTAAATGCTGACGTCGAGTACTTCTAGCCAATTAAACTCCCCAGGCACTAGACTTGCTGTTTCGTCAAGAATCGATGCTGTCGAAAGATGGATTTGTTTGTGGGAAACGATTTGAATTATATGCACTGAAAAAAAAGTTTGATATCAAAGATCAGGTGAGGTCAACATTCAGCATGCAGGAAACTGGCGCAGGATGACAGTACATATATGACATGATGCCGCTGGACATCCGGAAATGTTGTTTGAAGAATGCTGCAAGTATCTCCGAAAACTCATACCACGTCACCCATTCATTGCCAGTGATCAGCCCTTTAGGCCAGTCTCCGCCCTTGCCGGTCGATGAGCTTGGACCAAAAGAACGACGTTTCTTCTGCAACGGGGCCATTCCAGACCGCTTCTGTCGGAAGGGCGGACAGTTGAGCTCCAATCTGGGGATAGCTCGGTATATGAGCAGTCAGACCTGCAGCTAGGGGATTCGGAAAGTCTCGTGGATGTGATGATGTGGGAATATTTTGAGTTTAGTTCGGTATGATGCTGGTATGATGCTCAGTCATCGCAGCAGGATCGGCATCCGGGAGCCATCGCAACGCTATGACTGGGCGGTTGTGCCGGTTCTTGGCCGGCAGTCAAAGTCCATGATGAAGTACTGTAAGAAAGAGTGGACTCGAGGTTCGAGGTTTTCAGGGATCGTGGCGGGATCTGAAGAAAAGTTGTGATATCAGTCTGCCATTGACCATTGCGTCAAAAGTACAACAATACTCTGCACTTTGCATATACCGTAGTGAGGCGCAAGAAGAGGTGAGAAGAGGCAGTGCTGTCAGATGGCCACAGTCATGGTTGTCGATTTGACGGCAGCAAAAGCTTGATTTCTATTCGGGTGATCAATTGCTATTTTCGCGCCCTGAAGTTTGCTCTTTCGAGTTGAGATTATTCCCGACGCCACCGAGAATTTGTAGCACAAGTTGGATGTCAGCTGCTCAGCACTGCAGGGTTGAGGACTAACACGTGACCGAGCTTGATTTATCATTCAAAGAATTGGAGAAACATAATTATCGGCTTGGTTGGATGTTGTTGAAGTCTCATGTAATTGTGTTGTGGAAGTCAAGTAGAAAAATTGCGTGAACTTGGTAGATGTTAGGGTTGAAGACTTGGTGCCTTAGTATCAAGGCTCCCAAATAGGTTACCCCACCAAAATACTCGAGTCGCGTCTTCCTTAAAAACACCAAACACAATCATCATGTCGACCACTCCAGCACACATAACACCTCAACCTCTGGTGAACCCAAGCTCGTTTCGACATTTCCCTCCTATGCGAGGCTTCCGATTCGACACTGGGCGCAATTCAACACCCACGAATCACACAACCAGCACCCCTCTGGTATACGAAGGCGCCGAAGCAGAGCAGGACTCCGACGAGGGCAGCGAGGTAGAGAACGACGAAGATGACGACAATGAGGAAGAGAACGACGTCGATGAGGAAGGTGCAGACGATGGAGAGGAGGAAGATGCAATTGAAGAAGGTATGCATCTCTCCAGTCAATCGTTGTCATCATTATTCCCTCTTTCTCCCTCCCGACCACCGCCAGGATTGAACATGCCTCCTCGAGCACGTCCTGTACAGCTGGACTTCTCTGGAGGCCGCGTCCGTACGCAACTCGTAGGATGGCGAGCAGTCCTTCCTATACGACGAGTCCCAACTCCAACGGGAGAGAATTCCGTCACACATACTCGAGCTACGCTACAAATTGCTAATCAGCGTCAATCAGTGCCCATGGAAATCGATGTCCCTTTCGATCCTTCAGCTCTGGGTTTGAAGGAGATAGGGAATCTGGCGAGCTGGACTGTGAGCAGTTCTAAACCTGGCTGTGGAGTCGAAGCATTAAGGGAGGAGGACACCAATTTATTCTGGCAGTAAGTCTCTACATGAGATCTGCCATTCATCGTCTAACAATAGCAGATCTGATGGCCCGCAACCGCATCACCTAAATATACATTTCAGTCGCCTTGTCTCCATAGTAGCTATTCGACTCTTTCTTGATTTCGAAGCCGACGAATCCTACACACCAACTCGAATCACTCTTCTAGCTGGCACAGGCTACCACGACCTCATACCATTCTCTGCACTTAGTTTCGAACAGCCCAAAGGTTGGATTGATGTCCCTCTTGATCATGTTGGTGGAGGCGACGATGGCAAAACCCTGAGAGCATTCTTGGTACAAGTCAAGATTGTGGAGAATCACCAGAATGGAAAGGATACCCATGTTAGAGGATTAAAGATATATGCTAGAGACGACCGAGCTCGAGGGACAATGAGATTGGAAAGTCTTCGAGCCGATGGTATCGAGGGAAAGGGGAAGACGAAGGCAAACGAAGCAGGACAAACCAACGGCATGGAAAGAACATGGCTCCTCGAGCCGGACTGGATGGGCGAACCCGAGCTGCGCTGAAGAACATATTTCCTTCTGTCCTACATTCATATTCATTGGGGGTGTTTGGAGTCATGATACCCTAGGAAGCACTCGATATGGCAATCACAATGTTATCACCCATGGAGCAACAAAGCAGCAAGCTGGCATATGGGGCATTTTCTCTGTGCAATGCGTACACGTTGTGCAGTGGGAAGTCATGCTCACAGCTCATTATCCAAGCCCAGTAATAATCCCCGGTGCCCAGTCTCTTTTTGCTGATTTTTATTTGTCTTTCGTATCACTAATCATCCCTGTCTGCATCTTACCATCTCCCACGTCCCCCAACGTCAACCTCGCACTCTTGTTTGCTTTTTACCGTTATTTATCTCCAACTGCACCGTGTCGCTGTCTTCAATGCCGCCACTGTCGACGATTTTCGTGGGTTTACAAGGCGCATTTGGCGTCCTGAATAGAGCTGCGAGTTTACTATTCCGATCAGCTGCAGAGAAGAATGTGGAGATTTTGAAAGTTCCATCGATTCCAGCAATTCATGCAATCGCGGCTGGGAGTATTAGTATTGGGTACGTAAAAGATCTGTTTCTTGATTATTTCTGTGCTGCTGGCAAGAATTATGCATGTTATGATTGTTTTGGCAAAGTTCAACGATCCGGCCGACGTAATCATTCATGCTATGCACCATCACCCAATCGCTCTGCATTCCTTGTCATCTTTACGAACTTTTGTTGCAGGTCGCAAAAAGGGCATTGATCACTAGTGAGAGGCTGCATCATGAGAGGGTAGTCTTCAAGCCCCCGATGCAACGCCAGCTCATTCCGCCTACCCCCAAGTTCCACTCAGCATCCCACTCTCATCCTTCTTAAAGCAATCTTCTGATATTCGGGACGACAGAGCTTTTTACCTCAATACGGCACTTCGACATGACACGACCATGATGTGGTGGTGTGTTGTGGGGAGGTTGATAGCCATTCCTGTCTTTCTGCAACATGGGGGCCCATGGAGGAATGTGGCTGTCTTCGAAGCTGCATGTGGATTGTTAACTATGGGCGGATTATTGTGGGATAGCTGGCGAGATCGTGGGACGAAGGAGAAAGGACCTTGAGCAGAACTCGTAGCATGTGATACTTCTGCTTGGTAGTGCTAGAGCTATTGGATCGACTAAGCATGACTCCGCAAACTCCAAGAACATATCTTTTCTCAACTTTGTGCTGCACTGGCGAATATGGCCGTTGTACTTTGTTTGAGACAAGGGCCAGTGTTAGATTTTTGGGGCTAATTGCTTTCTACTTGGTCTTTTCTATTTGTCTTTCATCATCTGCGAATGTCTGTTCTCAAGTGATAAACTCCTTACTGTCAACCTTAGTGGGGAGCTTGGAATGACTGAAGGAGAAGCTCACGATGCATGGCCAATGGTCTTAATGCATTCTACAAGCACAATTCCTGGAGAAAGAATTCAGTGAATAGAGCGTCCTCTCCCCACTTCTTCAATTCTCCTGGCAGTCCAGCATGTTCCAGACAGTACGAATTTGGTACTAGAGAGACCTAACTTTTCGTGTGGAAAAGACTCGAATCTCAAAAGTCCCTTGATTCTGCTGCACTTCTGCAGTCAAATTTGATGCAACACGCATGTTGACCCCCGTCATTTGTTCCCTCGGCAGCTCTGAAACCAAGTCCTCGATCATTGGAGAATGGAAGCAAGTTCCATGCGTGGCAGACACCACGCCCCCACCAGAGCGAGCCCACATGCAAGTATCAAGCTGCGAAGATTATGAGTCGAACTCGATATAGTCTTTTCTACCCCCCGCCATCTACAAAATCCCACTGTGAAGCTATTTTAGGGACATAGGGAAATGCGGGGGCAAGTGTGGGGGACGGGAAGTCGCCGTATCGGAGAGACATTTCGGAACATTAGACGCTGGAGGCTTGATCATGTGGATCGATTGAGATTGAAGATCGTGGTCCAGCTGCAATATTTTGAGCAGTTGGCTAGATTTGGAAAGACAAGTGGGCATTGTTGAGTCTCGTGGTGAGGGATTATTTTGTGGTGTGTGTTAGTTGGTGCATGTGATGATCACGACTCGGGATTCGTGGTTGCGACCTGCCTCGAGGGAACCATATATAGCACAATTATTTCTCCTTGCAAAAACTTCATTAGTGCCAGCATCTTCAGTACATCTTCCCTCCAATCTCAAGATCTTTCCAATTTATTATCAAAACAGTCTGCTCCTTCACGATACTTCTTTCTACCTCGAATCTGTAAACATGCGTTGGACTCACTGGCGTTGCGGCAACATTCTCTTTGGTGAGAAAGTAAGTCGCAGATGTTGTCTATCAAGCTTTCAGTGTGATGCTAAAGATTTTGAAGTGCAATAAAGTTCATTCGATATGGCATCGCGAGTGCTTGAACTGCGGCAAGCACCTTGATCAGAATGACGAGAAGCTTTAAATAGCTTGATGCCAATGAGGAGAGAATTTCGATGGAGAGGGAAAGATAGTGCGGGACTTCGACTTTGGTGAAACAAAATTGACTGTGATGGGTTGTATGATACTGTTCTATGCTGTTGGGGCTTCATGCGGCGCTCCTTTTCGGTCATGGAGTCATTTGATTTCGGGATTTATGGACCCTAACCCTAAATTGATCTCAAACAGAATGTTTGTCTTGAGAAAGAGAAAGAAACACGATGAAGAAGAGCGATCTGGAACATTCATTCGTGAGGGACAGTGACTGTGCTGGATAGAGTGATTCTGACATGTATCACGAAAAGTTATGAACATTCAATCAAATTGAGACGCACTTTCTAGTTTCTACACATTTTTTTCTCGTGCAAAGCTTCCAAACAGAAACACATTCCTGCGCAGCATCACGCGACCCTTTCGCCACATTCAGGAAGGATATTCCACGTTCAAGTCTCAACTTCGCCACATTCTAACCAGCATAACACTTCACCATGTCTTCCTCGAAGAATCCTTCTTCCGACCCAAACGCTATGGAGAACATCCCTCTTCAAGATAACTACGAACCACAACACCAGTACCAAGAGCCGAGCGAAGAAGTTGAGAGGCAGCTCAAAGTCGCTACTGCGTCACCTGATCTTGAACCCCAAAACACAAAGGCTCCAGCTCCGAAACGAAAGCCAGGTCCACCGCCAAGAACAGGTACTGGCGACACTCAGAGTTCGGGGAGGAAAGAAGGCGCTGTATCGAAGATTACAGGAAAGGCGAAAGGATATGGGAAGTCGTGGTGGGGTCATGTGAAGAAGGGTGAGATGCCGTGGATCCAGTGGTATTGCTGTGGTGTTGTTGATGGGCATGAGGTAAGGATACACTATCCTCGAAAGTGTGATACGGGGTCTGACAAGTGGCAGTGCGATACTATGAATAACAGGATGAGTAAGGAGTGCAAAAAGTGCAAGCACAAGGTCTGTAACAAATGTGTCAAGGCCAAGACCTGAAATTGGAAATGGTTCTCGAGGATGGTGGAGATAGTGGATGCATGAACTTGGGGAAGGAATTGTTTGCGGATTCTGGTAGCATTTAGTAATGTTGAGCATGGCTTCGTCAATGTCCCTGGTTTCAAGAGTGAATGAGGTGTCTTTGAAAGTTCGTCCCCAAGAACTGACTTTATCTCTGCAGCTAAATCCATATTGAACCGGACATGCAAGAGTTGTTTATCCTACTAGTATTTCATACATCCCTTGTATCAAAGCTTGCTCTCGATTTGCACTCCATATTCGTTCGCTTCTTCCCTCCCTTCTTCTTCTGGCAGCCACCATCTCACGATCCCATCCAGTACCTCCTTCTCAATACCCATGCCTTTTCTCCAATCACCTCTTTTCCTCCCTTTCAAATATTCATGTACAGCTCCATCGGCGTGCGCTTCAGCATCATAACCATAGACGCGCAATACCGTCTGTGGATCGCCGTAAAGGTTACTGCTTCTCGAGAATGGTCTCCCTTCTAGCTCCGCTTGCATGGCAGCATCTCTGGCACCTTGAGCCGAACCGTCAGGAAGTTGCCAGATGGCACCGTTGAGAAAAGAGACTTGTTGCTTGAAGTGAGTTTTCGGCATTCTTTCCTTCTCGTAAATCTCAAGAGCTTGAGACAGTGTGATCTGGCCAGCGATGACGGAGCGGATACACCGACCCAAAAATGCTCCATCTTCCATGGAAGTAGCAGCTCCTTGTGCCATATGATTAGTCATTGAATGTGCGGCATCACCCATCAATACTATGTTCTTTTCGTTCGAGGTCCAACTTTTCAGTGGTCCAGTGACGAGCAATGGCCAACGCTGAGCTGATGGAATCATGTCGACAATCCGCTTGATCCTCGGATCATAATCTGCATATTCATCCCTCACCTCTTTGATGTCAACATCCTCAACTGATTCGACTAATCTGTCGTTGGGGACGTGGTGAGAGAGAACCAGGTTGAAGTCTTGGCCCGCAGAAATTGGATAAGTGATGATGTATGATCGATCGCTCATCCAAACTTCCATCGTCAATTTTTCAATCAATTCCCTGGCAATTAGATCCTCTCGGATTTGGGCATATGGAACTATAGCTCGATAGGCACAGTTGGACGTAGGTGGTGTGGGTCTGATGTCAGGGAACAATGTGCGACGCACGACAGAATTCACCCCGTCAGATCCAATCAAGAGATCAAAGGTATAGGTTGAATCTGTGGAGGTCGTCACGGTGACAAGTTGGGAGGATTTGTAGGAGATCGAGGTTACGCGAGAGTTGATCAAGATTTTGGCACCATGTCTCTCCGCAACCTCCACAAGGCCTGCGTGCAGATGGGCGCGGTGGACTACCCACCATCTGTTTGAATCTTAGCTTTCTTCTCAAAGCGCAGATTAGCGGAGGTTTGAAAGACGAAAGTTTGACGAACGGGTAGCCCAAGTCCTTCTTTATATTCGGCATCATCCTTGTATATCCAACTTTCGTCCCATCTCGCTTCCTCATATTCAACTCTTCAAACTCGACGAGATTATCTCCAATTAGGTCTGCAACGCCCCATTTCATGAGAAGACGAGAAGCATTTGGCGTCATCTTTGTGCAATCAGCTGAGGTGACTTCTGAGATTCGCCAGAAGAAATTGGAACGGAATTAGTGAGGAGAGAAAGCAGATCGAATGACGAACCTGGATGCCAGCTCCTATTTCTCCAAGCTCAGCAGCAGCTTCCAACACAGTCACGGTTGCTCCTGCTCGACATAGGGCAATAGCTGCTGCAAGACCGCCAATTCCAGCCCCGCAGAGCCCAACATGAATGGATTGTTTTGGGTGTGACTGTAGTACTGTCAGATATACGACTTTGTAAATTTGGATGATAATTCTCACCATGCTTATGAACACTAATTGACTACCTGAAGAGTTGAGGCATCCGGGAGAGAGATGAGGAAGTATTTAACTAAATCATGATCGGCTTTCGCTCTTCAATTTGCGTTCATGTACCACACTATGGCAACACTAGTTTTCTTGACAGCATCGAAACATTATTCCCGGATGTTTCCAGCTATGAAGTCTTCACCTCCGTTGTGGGGAGTTGTGGATGACCACCCACTTCCCCGCAGTGACATGGTCATCGCTGTTTATGGGAATAAGCCGGAGCAATCGAAGTGAACTAAACGGCGGGAACTGTAAGACTTATGTTTGGTCATTGGTAGAATCGGATAATTGGCACCACTAGAGCCTTTGATGATGCGAAAAGAAAACTTTCTCTGTGGCGCGTGTGCGAATGCGGCATGAAGTGTGCTAAGAAGTCGCGAATTTCAGATCCGTTCCGAGAACATCAGCAAGCGGACAGTAAGCGAAAGATACAATGCAGAGGATCGAAGAGATGCCAGAGACACTACAAAGAAACATTGTAAGTACTGAAGAGAACCGAAGAGACAATACCCAGGTAGACTTGGAAGTAATTGAGCCAGACCATGTGACGAGTAGTACTTGGACGTCATTCGAGACACCTGAGCATACAGTATACCCTGGCACAGTTGTACGGCATGGCAGAAGATCCTAGTTAAAAGATAGTGGGGTCTTTTGATAGACCTGAACCGTACCTCGCGGGTATCTGTTTAAGACTTGGGTGGCAAACCAACATGTGAAGGGAACACAATGTTACATGACCCAATTCGTCCTACTGAGGCTCTCGAATCAGAGCCCATGCCTTTCCGTCTTCCCGGCTGCCTCCATACTTCGTCATATCAATCTTTTCGTCGGCAAGAATCTTGAATCCGGATTTCTGTAGCATTGGCAGCGAATTTGGTCGGGCAGCGACATATGTAGCTGCTTTGGCCTTGTCTGCAAGGTCGTTGCAATGCGCGTTGAGCATTGTTCCCAGACCTTTCCTTTGGTATTCCGGCAATACCATTGTTCCTTTTCGATCTGCAGCACATGAGATCGGGCTCGGACTTCAGTGTGGGTTGATGAACTTACGGAAGTGCTTGTCAGGGTCATAGCCATATGCTTTCGTCGATGATAGCATGCCAAAGAACTCTTTCATTAGCCCCTCGTTGATTCCTGGTGGCAGGCTTTTGCCAGCCGTGCTTGCCGATGTGGCTCTCTCTTCCTCACTGGATGGATACGGGGAAGTAAGTGTGGCATAAGCTACGATTTTGCTACAAAGATTTAGCATATTGTCAAAATACTCGAGAGTTTGATTTACCCAGTTGCAGTATCGATCACTTTGTACACTTTTCTTTCTGGCAAATGGTATTGAGCTCTGGAGTTGTTTGCAACCCATTCAACGTGGTCTTGGTGCTTCACGTTCGCCGTCAATATCTTCCAGACGTCGTCGTCGATATGGCAGGCGACATAGATTCTTGCCAAATCTTCAGCATCATCGACTGAGGCTTCATGAATGGCGAACGCCATGGTTCAACTTCACTGCGCTTGTGGGCAGATGTTCTGACCTTCGACTGCTGAATGTCTGGTGCCGGAATGCTCAGACAACAGACGACGAATCTCAGCAAGATCAAAGTAATCGAGTGCGTATCTGGGGCTTTTGCATATTTATGTCCAGGCTGCTCATTGTTTCGTATTTCGTAACGTTGTATACCGACCAAGGGTAAGCAGGAGCGGAAGAAGTGTCGCAGGCCATGCCTATCCAAGCCTGTGGGTCCGGGTGAGATTTTGAAGCATGGCTAATCAGTTCTCTTGCCAAACACCAGCACATGAGAAGTCCCTTGCCGCGATCCAAGATGAGATGCCCCAATCTACACATTCGAGATACGCGTACTGAACATTCTTCCGTCTCTGTTTCGACTCAGAAACAGGAGAGGAGATGCGATTGGGGAGTGTCAGTGCTGGAAGGATCTAAGGTTAGGGGGCGGTTGGAACCTGCCGTGGAGTGTGTGCATCATTCAATATTCAACCCCCATCCATTTTTGCACCCTTCTTCTTCTCCTCCTCCTCCAATTGACCCAGCATTTCTCTTCAGGGATGCCAACGACCAATCTTCATCATGTCTGAGAATGATACCACAAATGATAGGTCCGATAGACCTCTCCTCGAAGGCCATGAGTCGGAATATGGCACCCGAGACTCGGCCACAGCTGTAGCTCCTGCTGAAGGGACTTTCAAACGGAACCTTGGAGCCATTAATGCTTTTGCGATCGTGATCAGCATTGTCATTGGGAGCGGCGTGTTCACCTCTCCTGGATCGATTGATGCCAACGTTCCGTCTCCCGGAGCTGCCCTCATAACGTGGCTTGCCGGAGGCGTGCTTGCTTGGACAGGCGCCAGCACTCTGGCAGAGCTCGGAACGGCTATACCAGGTGAAGGAGGTGTCCAACCCTACTTGAAACTCATCTTCGGGGACATCTTTGGTTTTCTTGCAGCCTGGACATGGATCGTCGCGGTCATGCCTGCTACGCTTGCTATTCTGAGCATCGTTTTTGTTGAGAGTATCTTTTCCGCTGCGGGAGTCACTGATCAAGCCGGCAACATCGAACACAAGTTATTGTCTGTCCTTATATTGGTTATGAATGCAGCCAATGGTATCAGCACCAAAGCAAGTACTCGACTGAATAACTTCTTCGTCACAACCAAATTTGTCACGATTCTGGCAGTCGTTGTCGCGGGCATAGCTGTTGTGATTATGGGAGCTTCGAACCCGAAGAGAGATATCGGAGGACGAGACTGGCGAACGAAGCCCTGGTTTGGATTCCGGGATAGTGTGGAGCCGGACGGAAGTATCATTGAGTGGGGGAAGTTGAGTGAATGGGAGATGCTGGGACATTTCTCAGCGGCACTCTATGGTGCGCTATGGGCTTACTCTGGATGGGACAAGGTGGATCTCATGTTTGACTTCCGATTGAGAATTTACTGATGCTTTGTAGGCAATATATATCACTGCCGAACTTTCAGCTCCAGCTCGTCAACTACCACTGGCTATCAACACTGCTGTCCCCACTATAATCATCTGTTTCATAGCTGCAAATGCAGCGTACTATGTCCTTCTTCCATGGAATGTCATTTCCACTACGGATAGTGTGGTTGTGGTTTGTCAGCCTTGAATCGATCGTTGGCATAAAACTGACATTTTGCAGACAGCAATAACTCGACTCTTGGGGCCTAGCTTTGGAATCATCGCTGCAATTCTCGTTTGTCTTGTGGTTGCCGGTTCCTTACTTGGAAACTCATTTGTCGCCAGCCGTATGACAATTGCGGCCGCGAATCAAAAATGGCTACCCTCTTTTCTCGCTGTTGTTGGACGAGTTGGCACCAAGCCTCCTCAAAACATCGAAGCTGGTACCTCAAAAGGATCAGCATCCGACGCTCCCCTCAACGCCCTACTACTGTCAACCACTTTCTCCGCTGTTTATATTATGTTCGGCAACTTTCGTGCATTACTTACCTTCAATGGCCTGGGCGAGTACTCATTCTTCTTCCTAACCGTTGTTGGAGCAATCGTTCTACGGTTTCGTCAACCAGATTTGGATCGGCCTTATAAACCTCTTCTCATCATTCCGGCCACTTTCGCGATCGTAAGTGGCTTTGTCGTTGTGAGAGGTGCAGTCTTCGCTCCCATTCAGACGATAATTCTCTTCGTGCTCTGGATCATTGGGGTGGGATTTTACCAGACGAGAAGATTGTGGGCAAAGGAGGATTAACAAGGCTCCCTAACTAGTTTTCATCAAAAGGTGTTCTTTGCAGACGCTTGCGTATCAAATAATCAATAACATACCCAGGTGATCTCATTCTCGGTCGATTTCACAGTGAATCTTTTTGCGCAAAGGCCATCACTTTCACTCCTGTCAACCTAAGCTAGAACAATGGATTACAATGTTGCTACCATTCCCGATTCATAGGAAGCTACCTAGGTACGCGGGAGAGGATGGAGTATATGACTTAGTCATCTGCGTTATGCAGTCGAACAACCACGCCATTACCACTATGACTTTCGAAAGTCTCTCGATATCGGACAGGCGCGAACTCGAGGTTTTCGATGGAGTCAAATCGCTGCAGAAGTTGTATAGTCATAGATGCCACAATAGCATGGCCAAATTTGGGACCTAGACAACCGCGTTGCCCACCTCCAAACGGAGAGTATTCAGCCCCAACCTTTCGACGCTCCCAACGCTCAGGAATGAACAAGTCTGCGTCTGAGCCCCAGAATTCCGGGTGTCGTTGCATTGCGTAATTTGCAATCAAGATATGGGTTCCTTTAGGAACAAAGACTGGTTTTGTTCCATCTAGCCCACCACCTCGTCTGCGAGAAAACACCATTAGCAAGTCCCTTCTCTGGTATGGCTCAAGAGATTTAGCTTTGCGCAAAGTGGAATGCGCAAGCCTAAATGCTCGGGGGTACCCAAATCACTTACGGGAGATCAATGTCTTGGACTGCAAATCTCTCGTTCAGAGGAACGATTGCACTGATGCGATGAGCTTCCTGGATACAATGCTGAAGGTATGCACAAGAGTGAAACTTGGCTAGGTCCAACATAGTAATGGGTTCCTTGCCAAAACTTTCCAGGATTGCCATTCTCAACTTCGCAAACACCTTGGGATGCCGAGCCAAATGATAAAAAGTCCAGCCTAAGAGCTATTCCAACAGTCAGCCTTGTATCAATCCAAGCCAATGAAGTCGATCAGATGCCGAGGCAATGGAGTTACTTGAAGTGAAAGGGACTGAACAACTCACAGCGGCAGCAGGATCTCTGATAGCCATCAACAAGTTCAAGGTCTGGTTGCGAAGATCCACCCGGTTCTGAGTAGACTTAACTATCTCATCTAAGATGACGGGTTGTTCGCCACCGATGCTCGGATCCGAGTTCAAGCGCCCCTCTACAAGTTTGTCCACTTCATGGTGCAATTGAGCACACACTGATCGAAACCCGAAACTGTCCACAAGCCAGTAAAGCGAGAGGAAGTTGCATCTCTTAGCCATGAACGATTTGCCGCTGTCGAAGCACTGCTCCAGAAGAATTTTACTGCCGCCTCGTGAAGGAACAGCAGCAGCCTGTGAGTCGACAGATTTGCCCCAGACAATCTCAGAAGCGATGTCCAAAGTGAAGTGGAAGAACAAGGGAGCCAAGTCAATCTTGGTTGTCCAGCCGTCCTCTCCAATTGATATGCTTTGTAGGAGGTATTGGATATGGGTCTGGCGCACTTCTATTCGGGAGACTTTGTCGAGAGATAAATGGGACCGAACGAACGATCTGTAGTTCTTCGAAGTCGATTTGGCAGTGAATGCGCCCAGTCCAATTAATGGCATCAATGCTTGGGATCGAGCTGGTCCAATATCGAACGAAGGTGATTGATAAATGAATTTGACATTCACTGGGGCGTGTTAGCTTAGTACGTGTCTGACTAGCAAGAGCGTCCTGGAGATAGGAAGAAGGTGAGCACTGCTTCCATGATGATCGAAGCTTGTCAAGACATCAAATAGTATCTCCTCAGGAGGAGCTCACCTGGATCCCTTGTTGCTAGGATACGAAATCCCAGTATTGCCTTTCGTACGGTATGGACTCGACCAAGATCGTCGAAGCTTTTCGCGAAGAGTTGAGGCCGACATTGATCTCGATCAGCCTTGATCATGCTCCAGAGTATTGGAAGGCCAAAAAGCCATATCGACGCAGAATCGGCTACTGGTGCAGGTTGGCATCCTCTGGAAACAGCTTGTGCGTTGACTCGTCTTTGCTTCAAGAGGTAAAATGTAAGTTGGAGGGCAATCCCAGAGACAATTGCCCCCAGAACGGCTGGTAATAATGTCATTTCTGCGCGCAGCGCGTTAGCAAGCCCCCTCCTTCAACGATATCTTCAAAACATCCTTACCGTGAGAATTTTAGGGCTACTGCTAGTATGGTTGCTGATGGAAAGAACTCGATATTATGCAATAGCTGGGAATAGACCTCCGCAAGCTCTGAAGAGCTGGGAGGGAAGGAGCCCCCCACGTGATCGAAAGCTGGCAGTTAAGTTAGATTGGAAAGAACCACCCTCCTAAGTTGATTGAATTCGTATTAAATACTCCGGAGACTTTAACTGTTGAGTTAAAGAGCATCGGGGATAGAGGACCAAACTTTATCCATACCACCCAGTGCCAAATGTGACACAGTTTTTGGGTTGCACTCTGATCGGCTGGGCTAGAGGTCATCAACCGATGTCGCACTTGCCTAACCTCATCACATTTCCAATATGCTGTACGTACCTGGAGACCGGCCTAAGCATTCAGCTCGTGGTCTCAACTCTGGATGTATAGCCAATAAGACTCTCAGAGGAGGTTGACAAAAACACAGCTTCTTTCGTGAGAGCTCGCACTATTGTGGAATGAATCCATTGCACAAAATGAACAGAATTGACAGAGGCTTCATACATTGCTCTTCACATGATAGCATTCTGGTGACGCCCTCGAGCTCGGAGCAAAATACTCCAATCAATTCCCCGCAATCTCGAATATCAACAGCATAAACTTATTCTGGGCAGTTCAGACATACTGAAGCTCAATTCTCCAGTCCACGAAGGATAAACTATCTGCAAGGATCCTGATGATACCGTAAAGTTTGCAGCAGACGACGCTGATTGTCTCCAGAGCAATCGATTGGCTGTTGGGGGAAGCTGAGGATTGTAAAGCACTTCTCCAGTACTCACTGCAGCAGCGATGGAGACTCTTGCACAACCCACTCGAGATGTGCTGTGGAAAGAAAAAGAAATGGAAGATGCTTCTAACATTTCTGGATCTGACCTGCAGGTTTCACAACTTCCAGTGTTCACTGCTACTAGAATTTGAACTTTGCAACCTCCATAGCTCATCCCCACGGTCGCTATGATTGATACTCAACCAAATTCACTTTCAAATTCAAGCTGCATACAGGAATATCAGTTCCAATGAGCAGAGCAAGCTCAACAACACGACTGTTCTTCTTTCACGTACCGTCCCGCGTCGGCTCCGCCAACGAGAGGCCATCTTACAAATTGCGGGGTACCCACCCCGAAACAGCCTTTCCTTACCCCGAACCCCGACTTGGGATATCTCGTCTTCTTCTCTCACGACTTTCTCTCTTCCAATTCATACAAATACGAGCAGAGTGCGACGCATTCACCTCACAAATATGCAATCTCCGCCATCAATACTGAATCGACGTGGTGGAATTCTCGGACGCCGGAATGGCCTCCAACCAGCATGCGAGAGCTGCCGAAAAGCCAAAGTTCGTTGCGATATTGCAGCTTCGGATACGATCTGTGCCCGCTGCAAGAAACGGAAGAAGCCTGTACCATGCATATTTCTCGAAGCGCCAATGACCAAGTCGAAACGAGAGTCATCCACTGAGCAAGCTACATCACCAATTCAGACAATGAATCCGCTGTCGGTGCGATCTCCTACTCTTTCAACGAGCACTCCAAAATCAGTTCACTCCGCATTTAGTCAAAAGACGGTCGAGATATCTGGTTTCCTTGGGTCGACCAGCTACTCCGCTACGCTGCAACATCCAGAGCTTCACCCAGACGAAGGGAATATCAATGTTCAGGCAGAGAAAGTGAATCTAGATCCCCGGGACATCGCTACTGGCATTCACATTTTGAAGTACTTGCCCGACGAAAACACATGCCAAGTGTTCCTGGATCTCTATCTTCAAAATACAGTTGGCATCATTGGGCTCCCTAAACGTTCGATGAAGACTATTCTCGGGTCCATCTTCACCTTTGGCTCCTCTCTCAACTACCCCTACGATGACGAGAAATTGGCCGCTGTCTCGAGTCAAATCATTGAGAATGGCCAAGCAACCACAGATGAGCCGGATGACGCCAATGAGTGGATTGAATCCATGAGTGGCAAGACGAACTTAAGATGGGACATTATAGGAATATTGTTTGTTGCTTTCGCATACGCTATTATAGCTGCACCAGATGGAGTATATACTTTGATTGATGAACGCTTGGCGTCTAGAGATCGCAAAGTAGTTGTGAAAGAACTGAAGAAGTGCATCGAAGGCTGTATAGAACTTTCTAAAAAGCGGCTGACTCCTATGTTCGTCAATCTTCTGTACAAGAACTTGCTTCTGGAGACCATACTGGAGGGAGATGCTTGTAAGTTATTCCAATTCTTGAAAAGGAGATCTGATAAGGTTTAGGTCTTTCCGTGTGGCGTTTACATCATGACCTCGCAGCCGTCACAACAGCTATTGGTCTGCATTGTTACCAAGGGACTCCGAATGTCACGCTTCGGTCGGAGATGACGAAGAGACTGAGTGCCGCCTGCTTCTTCAACGACAAAGAGATTGCCATGTTCACTGGAAGGCCCCCAGCCCTTTCCCACCGGTACTACACGTGTCCATTACCTCTTGATCTCGACGACGATGTTCTCATGGAAGGGGGAGAGCCATTACAGCGAGCGATCGAAGCTTTGGATGAGAATGGATGGAATAGAAAAGGAGAGGTGTGTGAGGCTACAATCTCCAGAAGGAGGTTTCTATCAGCACTGATCCAAGACGAGGTTATGGAGCTCTTCATCGGAAATCCGACGCATTTCTCAATGGAACGGGTCAAGTATGTTTCTTCCATATCCTTTCTGAGATTCATCTCGCTGATGTTTACAGTGCTCTGAAAGATCGGACAGTGGACACTTTTTCTGCAGTTCCGCATTTGATTACTGCCACCAAAGAGCAGCTTAACGCCTCAGACTCGACTTATGTATTCTGGCGTCTTCTTTTTGGACGGTTGGATTATCTCCGCATCCACTTCTTCCTCGAACGATTAAGTGTGGAACGCGGGTTCGAAAGTAAACAGAAGCTCCTGGATGTGTCGAGAGAGATGGTAGATCTAACGGTCTATCTTTGGTTGCAACGAGATCGTACATTGGCTAGGCGATATGATTTTGATTATCTAGTGAGTCTCTATTCATGTGATTGAACTTAACGCTCAGCATATCATCAGATCATCTGCTATGGTATGCCGTCGACTGGAATCCTTTGTGCGGAACTCCTTCGACAAATTCGATACCCAAAGACTGTTGATGTCAAGGTGCCGTGTTCAGAAGTAGTGCGCAATCTCAACTTCATGATCGGTTTTCTGGAATGGATCGCGCCTGAAGCTGGAAATTACAAGCTTTGCCAGCACATGGCCCAAATTATCAAACGTGTCTTGGAGAAGGTTTTCGAACCTGCACCAGTAGAAGAAGCCTTGATCAGCGATCGGCAATTGGAAAGTTTTGATGCTAATCTCTGGGGTATTGACGGGGTTGATGACTTCGACTGGCTGAACAGTGTTGATTGGGGTCGCAGGCCATTTCCAGACGTGCCAGCTGCTTGACAGATCCCTAAGCTATGCATACAGAGATCTTGATTGCGCCTCACGAAGAGATAGCAATGCACACTGGAAATCAGCAAGTGTGTCTGGAAATATTGCTAGAAGCTCGTGGTCCCGCCCCCGTCTCAGCCACCAGTGCAGCCGAGCCATGCTCCCCCTCAAGATATGGGCTATTGGAAGGTTGTGTAGAGTGCCAAGTCCATTGGTCTTGCTTCCAAATGTAGGAGGCTGTCCCTGGCTACTACATAGAGGCATCCAGCTTGGTCCAGACCCGCCGATCTTCTGAAGGCGGCTCGTGTTGATGCACCTTGCGTTGTTGTTGTTCGGTCCAAAATCTGGAAGCCGCCAATAGTCGAGATATAATAATCCAGATACAGCTGTATTAGCTCCGTGCCAATCAATAGCCCACGCGATTGGAACGGCCACGGCGGATTCATAAACATGTCTGATATTGAGATGGCGAATTTCAGTTCGGGGTAAGTACCAGATTCTCTGTACCCAAATTTCCATACCTCATGCTCATCTTCAACAGTCCCGGAAAAGTTACAAACGAATATTGATCACCTTCGAAATGGCCACAGATCGAGTTATCGAACTTTCCTTAGGGCCCCTGCTCATGCCCTTTTTTGTGGGGAGAGGAAATCCTCCAGGCTGCCTTTCCCAATTATATCGCATCATGAACCCCACCAACGCGACTTGCAACACCGAGTAGGCGGGCTTGCATATTGTTTCACTTCTGTGCCACCACACATAGCTGAAATTCGACAAGTCATTAATGCCAACCTCTGGGTTTCTCGGCCTATTTCCGTGAGCTGGCGTCCGTTTCGCGTCGCATTATTTAGTTTGTCACGTCCTCCCACGCTTTAATCTCCCAATCTCCCAAACCTTCCCATCACTTTCCGACTCGATCAATCACGATGGGTACAAGAGGGCTTCTGGGCGTCGTCATAGACGGCCAGCGCTATGCAACCTACAACCATTTCGACTCCTACCCCGAAGGACTAGGAAAAGGGATCATGGAATTCCTTTTGAGTCTCGAGCCCAAGGACTGGGCAAAGATGGCAGAAATGGTCAGAGAAATTGAGGTGTGTAATCACCTTCTTTCTTTCCCTGACCCTGATATATGTTGAAGGACAAAGCAGAAGCTAACATTATTCAACGCAGTGGGTTGACGAAGACTCCAAGGCTCCCTTGGAGCTGCAGGAGAAATACATCAACTTGGACTTCGCTGATGAGACGCTGAATGATGGAAGTGATGGAAGGAGCGACTGGTATTGGATGCTTCGAAAAATGCAAGGAAGTAATGCTCTTCCTGAAATCTTGAGCGGCAATCTTAAGCATATGATCCAGAATGGTAGGGTTTCTCACATATCCCGCTTCATCTTGTTGAAGACTTGCAGACTTATTGTTTCTGACATTCTTCGCGCAGTCAAATTCCTCAAAGATGGACTCTTTTGCGAGTGGGCCTATTTTGTTGATTTCGAGAAGAAAACCATTGAAATCTGGGCTCATGGTCAATTCTTGGAGAAGATATCGCTGGAAGGCGTGAATGAAGAGGGTTTGGAACAGTGTTTGGAAAGGATGGAAGAATTGGGTGAAGATTCGTATGACAAGTACCAGCAGAAGACGAGATGAATATTGAAGCAAAGAATGTTGTCGGGGCAGCCATGAATAGAAGAGTGCAGGTACAGGAAATCATTTGAATGGAATCATGAGGAAGGTGATGAGCGGTCAGTGAAGTCACCGCGTTCTCGCAATGGGCCAGTTATTGCACGGTGAATTAAGAGCACCAGAAGACGATTTCGTTACGAACTCCTTCTCGCAACACGCCTCTAAACTCATTGCCCTTATCAATGAGTATGGAACCACAATATCCATCGCCGCCAATTTTCTGCTTCTCACAAACTAGCCTCATCGATCTCTAAAAGCCTCAAAATTTACCATCCCCAAGACTGATTTTCTCCCAAGTCCCTAATCTCAACAATCATTATCAACCAGCAGCCACTCCATCATCGCCTTAATTCAAGCCTGAGCATTTTCGAGTTCAGGAATTGCAGATAACAAACGCTGAGGATAACAAGCGTTGAGGATAGCAGGGCTTGAGGGGTATAGAGGACTACATGATTTGAGGATGAGGAGGCTTGATGCTCGAGGAACATGGGGATCACGACACAGTATAAAGACTGAGCAAATGTGATCATCGATTCTTGCATTTGTCCCTAGATAACAGACATTACCGCTACTATCAAAAGTTCTTCCCTGTGTAAGGACTTTGAACGCTGTCGAAACCCTGGGAACAGTTCTTCCCCAAAGACGCACTTCCAGCCCTCATGTAGCAGATTTTCGCCTCTGCGCAAGCATCACTTGTGCAGTTTGGACTTTTGATACTTGATTTGCCTTGGTACGTATTAAAAGTTGTGACCAGGCTCCTGTTCGTCACCATTGCCTCTGTCACTCCGTGCCAGAAAGTGGCGTTCAGTGGGGCAGTCGTGGGCCATCCAGCGGCAGCACCGTACGCGTCGCGCGTGGAGTATTCGAATTGATAGGTAGGACCAGTGGCGTTCAGGGTGGAGTAAGCGTTCACGTCTGAATAGAAAGTGTAGGCTTCGTATATATCAAAAGAACCAGTGTCGACTTCGTACATGCGGAAGCCTGAGTTGAGGTTTGTTAGTGGTGTGACACTTGGACCGATCCAGCCTGGTGTTTGAGCTGTGCTTGAATTCATGACGGTTCCGTTGTTGGAGTAGTAGATCATGACTTGATCTTCATGTGTGTGGCCCCAGAAGGTGTTTGCGATCACATGTGGGGAGTATCGATCAACGATCTGGTAGAAGAGATTCGTGGGATCAACCAAAGGGTTCGTGCCGGACCATCCACTCAAGACGTGACCTATGATCCAGACTCTCTCCCCTGCATCTTCAGCACCTTGAAGCTCGTTGATCAACCAGGCCAGCATTCCTGAGACATCGGGATTGGTCATGTTGATATAGTTCAAATAGTTTGATCTGTACCAGAAATCCGTGTTGACAGTGATGATTCGCAATCCGAGGTGATTCTTGACGCTGTAGCCGCCATAATGCGTTGCGGCTTCCTTGGCTGTTGCTACATCGATCCAGCCATTGTTGAGCCATAAGCCTGATAAATGTTCATAATTCCAGCTGAATTGTTGTCCGAGGGGACCGGGAAGCTTGTGGGGAGCGTCGATGTTTTCTGGGCTGGAGTCGTGGTTTCCGAGCACCGCAAAGACTGGACCTTTGATGTAGGACTTGAACATACTGTAGATGGAGGTTTCAGTGTACTCGACATATGCTTGTGACATCTCGTTTTCGGGATCGTGAGACACCAAGTCGCCTGTGTAGATTGTCCAGGCAGGGCTAGAACATGTGTCACCAGTCCCAGTCAAGGAAGCGATGGATTGAAGAGCTGAAAGGCCTAGGAAGTATGGAGTATCACATCTGAGATTGTCAGTATCTACTTATGTTACAGAATAGGTTGAACTTACTTGTATGCTCCGTACAATGGTGCGGGGAAGACAGCTTGGGATGTTGAAGCAGCTGAATATCTACAGCAAAGACCAGAGCTGCAGTTCGCCTCAGATGCCACCGAGTAACGCGCATCGAGATGAAAGTCCGACAAATGCAGAACCTTGACCAGGTTGCCACTTGCCTTTGGAGCAGTAGCATTCTTTGGCTTCGGCTTGGGGAAGAGGCTGGTCACATTGAGAGGGCTGGTAGTTGGCACCGAGCAAAAGGTTGTGCTCAGAGTATTGCAAATGTATCGTCCGTCCAAACCCGTGACATCAGCCAATGCCAGAACTTGGGTCCAGATTGCTCCAAAGTTGCCAGCTCCGTAAGAAGTCTGACAGGATGAATTGGATGCAAATCCTGTCGATTGACAAAGTGAGACCATGGCGGCTGGTACGTATGAAGGGACTGTCTGAGCAAGCATCTTCCCCACTAATGCATTTTAGTACTTGGTTTTCTCTTGGAAACTAGTGTTGAAGATGAAACTTTCGTCCGATCCCAGTATAACAAATATGGACAAGTAAGAATGGAGAAGAAAACGAAATTTAATACTTACCACTCAATGCAGCAATGCATTTCGAGCAATTTCCTGACAATCCTCCGCTCTCGTAAATGATGCTGTTGATCTCAGCCAGGGCGAGCTTGACCAAAGCCTCGGAGGTGACTTCAGAGAAGTTTGCTATCGCTGGTGGGTAGTACACTGGATCCAGATCTGCTAAAGGGATGGTTTCGGGGTTGGTCAAGTTGAGAGGATATGTGATATTCAACACCGGATCATGGATTGCTGGTTGAGGCTCATTGGTCGGAGCTGCCTTGACATAGTAGCTTGAGAAGACTGATGTCGGAAAGGCTGTGGGTACGACGAATGAGGCCGCACCGGGGCGCTGAGCTTGGGTGACATCGAGGACCGCCAACAGCGCCAAGAAGGGAAGGATGATTCTTGCCATCTTATACACCAAAGATGGGGGTGAATTGGTGATGGAGCCCTCAGCTGTCGAGGTCGCAGAGAATGGGAGAGCTGGGGGAAGCTTCTTCGTCACCATGGTCTTGGGACAAGACGATCTTTATAGCTGGGAAGGTAAGTAAGCGGGACGGCCGGTCCCTGCGGTTCCTGTCCTGTCCTGTCCTGCACGGATTGAAGCTGGTCGGGTTCGAAATGTGCCCTACTGTCGGTGTAGTACCAGGTAGCAGCTGGATTCCCTGTATTTCGTCGTCACTAATGAGCTTCGTCTCCGCTATCATCACTATCACGGGTATGAACGTGGACCGCTGACTGGCGCTGAGAGCGTGTTCCCCGTGCTCGACATCTTCCATGCAGGCCTCACGGGCTTCCATAATCCATTCTCGACCATCCTCTGCATGTATGATCCAGCCTCATCGTTCTGGACTCCGCTTTCTTCTCGCTTTGTTGCGCTTCTGGGTGATCCTCTGCAGCTCTCGCAGACTGAACAGGTACCTGCCCTGAGCTTGCGGGAGGAGGTCGCGGGATGTTGAATTGAGAGGTTGGCGTTTGTTTTTCTTGCTGCGGAGATGCGCTCTGTGGACAGCCGTGCGGCACCAACACCAGAGCACTTTGCACGATCATGTGACCGTCGTGAAGGCGTTGGATTTGCATCTGGGAATGCTGGTAGTTTCATGTTCCTTGCATAGAGCTCTTGGTCATTGTTTGAAGTCACTCAATGATAATGTTTGTGCAGGAATTAGTGCTCAATAGAATCCTAGAATTGTTTTACTCCTATTTCACTTCTTCGAGAAGAAGTCCACAGTTCTTTACAACCGTCTTTTCATCCTCAAAGTTTTTCTCCTTGAACACTCACGTCGTGGAATGCTTAGACTGTGCAGCCCTCAAGTTTGCTGATCCTGGAAAATTGTGATCCTCAAATCATTCAATCCTCAAGTCTTTTAATCTTCGAACGCTTGAAATACCCTTTCCGGTTGGCTTGGGACGAAGCCCTACCTGCGAGATCAAAGTTTGATGTATTCACTTCAAAGTAGTCAACTTTAGATGTGGATGAACAAGGTTCAAGACATGAAAACGGAAGTGGTGTTATGTGAATAATTCACCTTGCATGCCGAGAGGCTGAAGGAAGGCAGAACATCTTAGTGTATCAAAAGCAGTTAAATCAAAAGCATGGCTTTTCAATTTAGGACGTGTATTTTTATTCTACGTGACATTCGCCGTTGTCGTTTTCAAGCCTTCTACAAAGTTCAACTTGCGCGAAGTGAATCACATTGGGATCCATATTTGGGAACTGATCGTGAGGAGTTTCCAATTCGCGAATCCATAGTATGCTGACGCTAATAGCAACGAGTTCTCTATCAGGGGCAGCAAAACGCGACGAGTCTCGAAGTGGACAATCTGTCAAGCAGTGGTGGTGATTCACAGATGCAAATGAATCTAGTTTCGAGTCATCATTATTCACACTTCTTCCAGTCAAAATTGATGGGCAATACTTGTTCCTTGATCCAGTAAAACAAACACTTTCAAGTGTTCATCGAACCTCAGCACTTCATCCATTAAAACATGCAGATCCACGACCTACTCGAACAAAAGAAGCCATTCACCATGAGCGCTACCACCATTCAACAGCCTCCGTCCCTCAAAGCGGACATGCGAACCACAACTGCTTCTACCCATGTTACCCTACAACCTTCGATGCAACATCCATCGCTTCGTGGAGGAGAGCGAGGCGGAGCGAACAGCATCTCATCTAGCTGTGACGAGTGCTGCTATCTTTGTCGTACGGATTTGGATCAGCCTGGATGTTGCGGGCGGGGAGGAGGATGGTCCTGAGCGAGACCGAACCAAACGTAGTTGAGGGGTTGGCTTTGTAAGATACCGGACATAAAAATCTCCTGACTTTGGTACCTGAACAATTTAAAGGGCGGCGTGATTGTGGTCGCGGGGTTGCTTCTTGGTACTATGAATCTATTCCGAATGTCAGATAGCCGTCGCTCCATGGAGGTAGAATCAAGTTTGTGGTTGCTTTGAGATTAAGTTGTTCACGCAACTATGGATGGACTATCGTTCGAATTGACACTGTTGACGATTACGAACTCTGATATGTGACTGGCGAGTAGCTCGTTCTGATAAATCTCGCGGGTTGTACAGGATTTGCGCAAACACCACCAAGTCCGGTACGATCTGAAGACTATCCTTGCATGTTTCACGAACACGCAAAATCTTAGGTTTCAACAAGCTTCCCCACTTGGATCGGATATCGTACTGCATTCACGGTATCGCGTTCACGGTAATTTGAAAGAGGCATCTCGGTATTGCATTCCCGAGTCGCGGCTGAATCGCTTTGGCACGTTACACAGCGCCATTTTGCTTTATCCTTTTCGCCTCAAAGCCACATCCGTTATCTCGTATTCATTTTCCGCCTCTCAAGGCCATGAGTTCATATTGGGTCTGGAGAGAAGTGGGTAGGTCTACATTCTTCCATTATCAAGGCAAAAACGGCAGTTTTTATGATATATACGCGTCCGAATGGATACACTTTCCGGGAGTCAGGACAAGTGTTCATGAGTGTCTTGGGACCTTTATCTTTCAGCCATCAACCAATGTCTCTCGTTCACACTTTCACTTGAATACTCTCAGCTTCACGTTCACCACGCATTCACTTGACAATATGCATCTCTTGCTGTCTGTTCTGCTCTTCATCTTCACAGGGGTACAATGCGTCAACTTTCCTTGGGAATCTATTCAACTCACTGAAGCTGATGTCGGCAACTTCTCAGACATAGCCTTCGGTGACAGAACCAAGTTGAATGCCTCTTCACCTGCGACAACGTCAGCTTGCAAAGCATTTCCAGGTTCTTTTGACTGGCCTATTGATGATGAATGGAATCAGTTGAACAGTTCTCTGGGAGGCGCCTTACTGAAGCCTTCACCACCAGCCGCAGTCTGCTATTCTGGTCCTCAGTACGATCTGAATCAATGCAACTACATCCTCCAGAATGCCAGCTCGAGTCGGTTCTATCTTGATGATCCTCTGACTGTACTTACCTCCTGGCCAGAAGGAGACACTTGTTATCCGACTCTTTCTCCTACACAGAATTGTACTCAGGGTGGATTTCCCGTCTACGTTGTCAACGCTACAAACGTCAAGCAGATACAAATTGCTGTGAACTTTGCGAGGAACCGCAATATCCGACTTGTCATCAAGTAAGATTGTCATACGTTTCGTTACATGTCAAGCTAACTCTGCTCAGGAATACGGGCCATGATTTCAATGGACGCTCGACTGGCGCTGGATCTCTGAGTATCTGGACACATTATTTGAAGAGCTTTGAATTCTTGCCCGAATATACAGAGAAGAATTACAGCAATATTGCTGCGCGAGTCAGCGCTGGGTTGGAGGCATGGGAGATGTATCAATATATGGACAAATACAACATGACTCTCGTTTCTCCGGGAGGCTTCACTGTAGGACCTCACGGTGGATGGATGGCAGGAGGTGGACATTCAACGATAGGTTCAATCTACGGCCTTGGCAGTGATCAACCGTTGTCATTGAATGTCGTCACAGCAGATGGGAAGTTTGTCACAGCAGATATGGACACGAATCCGGATTTGTACTATGCTTTGCGAGGAGGTGGACCAGGTCAGTAGTGCAATATTGGTTGTGAGCGTTGCTAACAGCTGCAGGCACTTATGGTATCGTTACCTCTGCCATTGTTAAAGCATATCCTCCTATTCATGTCAGCGAGACTACGCTCGCGTTCAATGGTGGTCCTGTTCCTATTTTCAACGTTTCGGCCTTTGGGAACTTTACTCTGCCAATTAATTTCACATTCCCATTGAACTTTACTTTACCGCCACCACCAGCCTCGACGCTGAATACCTCTGCTTTTTGGGAAGCAGTCAATTTGTACCACGCCTATGGGAAACCCATTGTCGACGTTGGAGGTACGGCTTACAGTTACATCACCAAAACTGGGAATGGCAGTTTCAGTTTCACAACCAACATCGAAATGGCGGGCATGAATGCTTCGGAAGCGTTCACTTTCCTCACCCCTTTGTATACCGCGATCCAAGCACTCGGAATTCCAGTCAATCAAACCCTCCCAGTAACATCTCTCTCGTGGGGATCTACTCGTCAAGGTGAAGGTGACGCCCCAGGTGACCAACGCTTTGCGTCGCGGTTGTTTCCATACTCAAATTGGGAGGATGAAACTTTGTTCAACAACACCATGGTCGCAATTCGTGAAGTTGTCGAACAGGGCTACACTTTCCATGGAGTAAACATCAAGCCCGACGAGAAAGCTGCTGGATATCCAGGGAATGCCGCTGTCAATCCTGCATTTCGTCGCACTATTATGCATGCCGACATCTTCGACAATACATTGATACGAGGAGCGACTCGGGAAGTAGTGGAAGCAACGCATGTTAAATTGAATAATGCGATGGATCTGATCAGAGCAGCGACGCCGAACGGAGGATCTTATGTCAACGAAGCAGATGTACAAGAACCGAATTGGCAGCAAAGTTTCTTTGGAGATAATTACAATAAGTTACTGAAGATTAAGAGGGAGAGGGATCCGTGGGGATTGTTCTATGCTCCGACAACGGTGGGGAGCGAGGTTTGGGAGGTTAGGACGGCCGATGGATTGCCGACTCAGAACGGAAAACTGTGTAAAGTTAAACAAGTACGTTTGGAGAGTATATAAAAGATTGGTGCAAGCGCGGGGCTTGCTTAAAAGGCAAATATATTTATATTAATATTTAGCGATTTTAATATTAATAAGCGCTAAGCTAATTAAGAATAAGCGTAGTCGCGGTTCGATCTAACGATATTTAATAACGAAAATAAAAATATATTTAAAATTAATAATAAATAATAATTATATAAAAAACGAAATCGAAATTAAAATTAAAATACGATTTCGAAATTTAAAATATATATTCTTAGGGTTAGGAGTTCGGATTTGCTATCTTTTAAGCGCTGATAACTAGCTACATATTGAAGGTTGCTTTGGTGGTATTCCTACCCCCTATGCGGGGCCCCTTTTCCGATGGGAAAGGACGACGGCCATCGATTGATTGGCTCGCTTGTCTGCTGACTAATATACTTTCCGGTCGGAAAGTACGGTGGGAAAGGAGACCCTTATTTCGCATTATTATTTATGTAGGAAAGCTTCTATATAGTCCCCGTTATGTTCTCATATGATCTCCTGCACTACGTGGTAGTATGCCGCACTTGCAAGTCCTGTATTGTCCCTAGACGCTTAGCCCAGGAGCGGCACTTGAGGGCTGCCCCTCACCGCCTACTTGGGGATGTCTTAAAGACGGCCCTTCAACTCTTAAGCAGCTACGACTTGAGGACTGTCGAAGAGCTTAAAGAGTATAAGCTTCGACCTGAGGATTAATGTCAGCTAATTGAGCACTTTGCTAGCTATGATGGCTTTTCCTGCCCCCATTACACGTATTATACCTGGCACCTTCCTAGGATAAAAGAGCATATAGCCTCTCATAAGGTGAAAGATGTAAAACAAAAGAACGGGCCATTGTGGAGAGAATGCAAGCTATAGACGTACTTTACTGCAAGGGGGCGTATTGATTATTTTATTGTGGTGGACGAAGAGAAAGGCGGGGTCTTCGGGACAGCTAGGGACTTTGCTCCATTAACAGAGCCAGAAAAGGAACTATTTGTGAAGTTAGAGAAGGATAATGGTGATATGATATATGATTTGGAGGAGCAGGCAAGCCTCGTCCACGATTTTGGGGGTTCTAGGGCAGAGAGGGTGCCATAGCTCGAGCGGACCGGCTTCCCATCCCACTTGGCCGGGCTGAAGGACGCTGAGATTAAGAGCTCGTACGCCCTCCCGCCGAAGAGAGAGCTGGATGCTAAGGCAAAGGCTGCTGAGGATCCTGACTTGGTCTGGATTCTAGTGGCGGCTAAGGCTCTCTTGCGAGACGCATATAAGCTCTGTAGTAACGCCTCCTGGGACCGGAAGATGACCCAGCAGCGGGCTAACATCCTGAATGAGTTCTACGCTAGAGCTTCCGGCCGTTCAGACGGCTTTCGGTATTATAAGAACGCGTCGACGCTTACTAAATACTTCACTACTATAAAGCAGCTACTAGCGTACTACTACCGGGTCGTCTATAGCGAGGAGGGCCACTTTACGCGAGCTTAGCCAGACCAGAAGCTGCCTTAAGACGTCGTCCAGCCTACTACTTGGCAGGTCTAAGCTATGGACGAGATCATAGACGCCCTAGCTCTCGAGGATGAGGAAGAGGCTCTGCTAGCTCTTAAGCATGCCATTCGGCGGCTCTACCTGGCCCTGATCTGCCAGACGGTTGGCAGCGTGCCCTTTAAGTCGCCCGTCCTAAGCTTCTGCGCTATGCTCAGCCGCAAAGTGCGGGGTAGCGGGGTAGGGCAGGGGCAGTAGATGGAGCCGGGGAACTACAACAGCCACTTGTCGGCCCTGACCTGGACGGCCCAGCTAGTCCTCTTCGACTACGCCTGCTTCCAGGAGCAGGAGGACGAGGACCAGATCCCGGTCTTCTACCTCTAGAAATGGGCGGATTTGCGGCGTAAATCCAGAATCCGTAGGCGAAATGACCCTGGATCAGGGGGAGGGCACAGACTAGTTCACCATAAATCCTGCACCATAAATCCAGAATGGTCCTGGCGCTGGGGGAGTCCCCTCTACGGCTACCAGCGAGCAGAGGGGGGAGATCTGACCATCGGGGGCTATGGGTGACCCTTTTATTTACTTGTCGGAGTGGTAGGTGCTGCTCTATACGTCTTGCGGCTACTGCCTCCGGCCTAGACGTGACGTCTGGGTTCGACACCTAAGGCAGCACCCGCACTGCTTGAAAGGGGCGTCATTGAAGGCTCTCGTGGAGCTGTTTAGCAGCTACGACCTACGGGCGGCAGAGGCAGAGCTAGCGCGGCTGCCAGCGAAGGCCATCCCGGGGCTAAGGCTCCTCGACGGCTTCCAGTGCCTGACCTGCTCAGCCCACCTCACAAGGGATTGCAAGTCGATACAACGGCACGTGTCGAAAGCCCACCAGCAAAAGCTAGCGTTGCATAAGAAGAGCCCTCTGTGGCGGGGGTGCAAGCTTCAGACTTTCTTTGCCGAGAACCGCTGGGTTCGGTATTTCGTAGTAGAGGAAGGAAAAGCAACTACTAGAGGGAGCTCCGAATGCTCTTTTATAGCTAGCTTGGATTCGAGGGAGGCAGACTTCTTTACGCAGCTTAACGAGGACGCAGCTATTGCAGGTGAGGATGCTAAAGCAGAAGCCAACACCGTTCATAGCTTCGGTAGCCATAAATCTGCTGTAGTGCCGTGGCTTCGACGGACGGGCATCGAGGAGCACACGCGGGGCTTGAAGAAGGACGAGATGCACACCTCTTTTGCGGTGCCAAAGAATGCCGAGAGCGAGCCCGAGCTGTTCTTAATGCTAGAGGTTATGGACGAGATCTTTACAGAGGCGCACAACTAGTGCTTCGACGGCCCAGACTGCATGCTGACTTGGCCACGGTAGCTAGCGTTGAGCCGCTTCTATACTACCGCTGGCCTAAGGCAGAAGACGCGCGCGTTCGACCCGAAGAAGGAGCTTAATACGCTTAAGACCAACTTCGGCTACTAGAAGCAGTTCTTGACTTACTGCTACCGGGTGGCCTACCGCGGCAGCCACTTTACCACGGCCGACGACGACCAGCGGACCCCGGAGAGCTGCATCCAGCTCACGGATGGCTAGGAAAATGCGTGGGAAGCGGCCTCCCAAAGCGCTGTAAAGCAAGACCGGCCTGCGCTGAGAAACGCTATGTCGGACCTCTCAATAGCGCTGGTCTGCCACGAATTTGGAGGCAATCGGTACAACTCCCCACTGCTTAGCTTCTGCGCTATGCTCAGCGTCAAGCCACACACTAAGACTTGGAAGGAGCCGGGCAACTATAATAGCTGCTTGTCTGGCGTGATCTGGGTTGCGCAGCTCATCATCTTCCACGCTAGCGCCTGTCTGGAGAAGGCGGAGCTAGGTGATACACTCGAGCGCATTGAGCAGTATTACGGGAAGTTCTTGAAGCAGGACACCGAGACTCCCATGGGCGAGATCCTCGGCTGGCGCTTGCTACTGTTTACTATCTCGAAGGAGGTCGTTGGGCCGCACCAAGCATAGTGGGATGTAGACGAGAAGGTCTTGACCTACCGAGACGTTGATTTGCATATGGATCACGTACCGCGGCTCTTACTCTCCGACTTCTAGCAGGCCTAGCACCTACTCTACAACGAGCTGATGTTCGGGGCCTAGAACCTCCCGCGGATGCGTGCTTGGGCTTTAAAGGACAACTTAGACGCCGATGCCTTTGGCTAGTTCTTTGGCTAGCACCGGGAGAACATTAAGCTAGTAAAGCCGCTAGCGAGGTCTTTACTAACCGTTATCCAAGACTCGAAGCCGTTGCGGGACTCGTTCCTGGATGCCACCGCAGATAGCGCTAAGGTCTGGCGGGGGAAGGCGATTAAACGGTATGAGGCTGTAGCTAACGAGTTCCTGAAAAGGCTCTTAGTCTTGATCTATATGGGTTCTAGCTAGCCTCTGCGCGAGAGTGAACTGTTCTCCGTCACCTAGTGTAATACCTAGCGGCGGCGAAACATCTACCTTAAGCACGGGCTAGTCATACTGTACACTACATACTACAAAGGTCAGCAGCAGACGGGTAAGTTTAAGGATAATATCCGGTTCTTGCCTACACCTGTTGGAGACCTCTTGCTAGACTACTTGGTGGTTGTCATCCCGCTCCTCCAGGTCTTCCTCCGCCGGTCTGCCCCGCATACCATTATCTCTCCGTACTTGTGGTGGCAAGACGGCAAGGTTTGGGCTAACAACCGGCTCACGCGGTGCATAGAGCAGGCGTGTAGTCGGGCTAGCATCCCCCGGCTACACATTGCTAACTAGCGGCAGATAACGGTTAATATCGTTAAAACTAAGTTTGTAGCTAACATTAGGTGCTTTGAGGTTGACGACGGGGCTAACGACGAGGATGCCGAAGAGATTGAGGCTAATATTCGGGTTATGACCAAGTAGCGGAACTATAGTACGCGGACTATTAACCGGGCATATGCAAACTAGTATAATGCTAACTTTGGGAACGTGTGGGATAGCCTTATCCGTCGGAATCTGCGTGCTTCAACTCTGTGGAAGGACTTGTGGGGGCTTAACCAGCTGCTTGGACTAGCTAGGAAGAGGAAGCGGGATAGTAAAGACATTAGCGGTCCGCAAATACTTAAGAAGATCGCTATGGGGATCTACCGGCCACGGAAGAAGTGGTTAGCTACGGCTCTGCTGAAGAGTATAAGAAAGCTATACCTAGATAACACGCTAAAGTGGAAGTTAGTAGCCTAGGAGCGGGCTATAACTACTATTATATTATAGACTAAGCAAGTGGTAGTTATTATAGCTACTAGCGAAGGGAAGAGCCTGCTGTTTATACTACCCTGTATCCTCCCTAATGCTAGGGTAACGATCTTAGTCTTGCCACTCGTGTCTCTGCGAGGGGACCTCCTCCGCCGAGTCCGAGAGTTAGGGATCGATCACTTGGTGTGGTCGCCTGGCGAGCAGCGAGATGTGCCCTTAGTGTTTATCACAGTTAAAGCAGCATGTACGGAACAGTTTCGGACCTACGCCCACAAGCTCGCGGCTATACAAGACCTCGGCCGCATTGTGTTTAACGAGGCTTACTTGACTATCACAGCGTCCGACTATCGCTAGGCTATAGTTGACCTCGCCCTAATCCGTAACGTCCGTACGCAGTTTGTTTACTTAACAGCTACTCTACCTCCGATAATACAAGCTACGTTTAAAGAGCAGAACAACTTAGTGAGCCCTAAAGTAATCCGAGCATCAACAAACTGGCGAAATCTGTTCTATATGGTACAGCGGGCCACTAGGCGAGGGAGTCTGCTCGAAGAGGGCGCGCGGAGGGCAAGGGACGCGTGGGAGAATAGCTAGCTCTTAGATCGGGCTCGAGATAAGATCATCTTATACGTTCGGACAAAAGACGATGCTGCTACGCTGGCCGAGCTACTCTGCTGCTCCTAGTACACAGCTGATATAGGCACAGCTAAGCAGAAGGAGGAGCTGCTGAGAATGTGGCTTGCCTCCTCGGACCAGCCGTACATCGTGGCCACGTCTGCACTAAGCGCTAGCTTCGATTATGCCCACGTTCGCTTAGTTGTACACGTCAACGAGCCGTCGTCTTTGGTCGACTTCGCCTAAGAGTCTGGTTGGGCCGGGCGGGATGGAAAGGAGGCGTACTCGCTGGTCCTCCTCTCACCTACATAGAAGCCGCAAGCCGCTAAGAGTACTGTGGTCGAGAGAAGAGCCCTGCACCGCTATCTCCTCGGCCAGGACTGCCGCCGGGCATGCTTGAGTAAGCACCTCGACTCCGAGCCGTATTGGCGACAGTGTTAGGATGACGAGGACGTTGTATGCGATGTATGCAGCGCCGGCCTAGCTCTCGCTCCGTCTCCCGCTCCGTCTCCCGAGCCGGCCCTCTAGTATACTAGTAGTGCGGCTATCCAGGAGAAGCGGCGCCGAGCCGACCTATCCAAGCTGAGAAAACCAACTTGGGGCCAAGTGGGTTTGATTCCCCATACAACCCATTAGCGTGGATTTGCCGAGAGGGTTAAGTTGATTTAGCCAAGTTGATTTATTAGGGTTACGTCCAAACAAGCTCGGATGCGGCTCAAATTCGAGTATGAGTTGGACCCGGTATATGCGACACTAACCCCGTCAAATGCATGACCCAGAGCCCGCCGTGGGATTATTTATTAAGAGTTATGTTTAGCAGATTGATTTTTGATGGGGGAGAGCAAGTGCATAGGCCAGGTAAGCAGAAACCACATTCCCAAGTATAAAGTGAGCATAAAAGCATAAAAGCATAAAATCGGAAATTACAACTAGCCATTACACGCATGGGTTCAGAGCAGAACGCGTAAAGTAAGAAGACGTGTAGAGTAGTTAGAAAGACGCGAGAATCTCTAGTATTTCAAACCCAGAGGGTTAAGTTGATTTAATATATACCCATATCATAGATCCATTTGTGCATTTCCCAGCGCAGGGGGTTGTTGTGTGTTCCGAATACAAGCATACCGTGTTACTCAGTCACATCGATGCCCATTTGAAGGACGAAGGGAAGCACAAGGCCGTTAAAGCCGACCGAGAGCGTATTATACAAGAAATCCAAGCCATTCGGAGTTTGAAGACTAAGAGAGTAGAGTTAAACCATTTAGTGTTTCCGCCGGCAAGTAACCCCCCCATCCCCATATTACAGGAACCCAGGAAAGACGGGTTGTAATATTAGTTGCAAGATTAGTATAGCAATCTATGCGTGTATATCGCGTGCTAAATACAAAAGATCCAAGAGTATTGTCGTCACGTACATCAATAGGAGAACCCGCAAAAGAAAGGCCGGCTAGAGATAGGGAGAGATGTGTAAGTTCTATGGAGAACCGGAGTCTATTGCCAGCATTTTTTCGTCCGTGGACCGGGCGCCCAGTATTTCGAGGTTTAAGCAAAGGGTTCTAGTTTAGCAATGCCGTCCGGAGACGTCGATTTGGATGCCGCTAAGACGGTGTTGAAGCAAGCTATGCAGCAAGCAGACGAGGAGGCACGCCGCCAGATCACCGAACCGGAGGAAGCTCGAGAGCCAAATCTATGGTTACGTCGCGTAGGGTGGGTCGAGCATTTAGGAGCGTTTGATCGGAAGGAATTGCGGGAATTGGTTGCCCCCGTCAAGGACGACGAGCTAGAGTTGGACGTATTATGCAAGGCGTTTGATTGGTTGATTCAAGACGCACAGTATCATTGCATTCGACCGGTGGTTGGGTTAGAGGCATTGTTTGAGGCGAACCGGAAAGAGGTAGACAAAGACATCCGGATGCCGTTTAATAGTTGGATAGACATCACCACCGTGAAGGCGTACACAGAAGTGTATAAGCAGTTGTTACGTTATATATTCCGGTCCAAAGACATTGAGCCCGAGAAGCGGCCGGGGTACGAGTTAACGGAAAGACAGCAGATGTGTATGGAAGACGTGTGGACGAGTATTGAGGAATTTGTATGGTGGAAAGAGGAGCAGGCGGGAGGTTCTAGACGCGGGGTAGTGCAGGAGGGAGAATCAGACGAAGAGATCGAGTGGATGGGCCGGATTTAGAGGCGGATTTTGCGGTTGTGGATTGCGTTGTTGAATTAGCCATTGTAGGACGACGAGTACAAAAGTGTGTTGATTAGTGGGTTGGCCATTTTGGGTATGCGGGAAGACGATGGATGGTTGGATGCCGAGGATTACACGCCCAAATATTCGGCCGTGATCAAGTTGGCACGTTTGATGGTCGTTTAGGAGGCGTACGAGCGGCGACGGGAAGCCATTGAGCAGTACGAGAGCTGTAGTTTGAGTACTAAAGTAGCCTAGGAGAAAGCATCTAGCTATTACGTTTTAACACGGGGTTTGGTTCGTGCGTTTATGACTATGGCCTACGATGGCCAAGATCCCAAGCCCATGCAGTGGTTATACCGTAGCCGGTCGTACGGTTTCAAGATCCGGTACACTACCACGGCCGAGGGGAAGATCTAGTAGATTAGGGATAATGTTTTATATCCCAAGATCCGGTTTAGCATGAGCTAGTTCCGGGGGATGATTCATAGGTTGGTTGGGGAGGCAAGAGAGGAGTTGTTTGAGAAGTTGATAGTAGTAAGGATGGGTGTAGACCGAGAAGTGGATATAAAGCAGGTGCCACCGATCCATTGGGACAGAATGGTGGACCAGCCGTCCGAGACCCGGGTGGGGTAGTCGTTTTTGGACGACGAACGGAATTAGTTTGCAGTATGCAAGTAGTGGTGGTTGTACAAGCGGATGTATAAGGAGGAGCAGTTCAGAGAGTAGTTCATAGACAATACAGGGAGGTTGAAGAGGGAAGCTGTAGCCGCATATCAGCGTTACAGAGAACGGTTTATGGAGTTGTTATAGGCGTTGATATATTTATGTGGTAGGCAGCTAGCTAGAGCACCGGAGTTGTTAGGAATGTGGTGGAAGAATACAGCGTACAGTAGCGTACGGAATATTTTCATTAAGGAGGGCTTGGTTGCGTTCGTGGCCACGTACTACAAGGGGTATCGGAGCAGTGGAAACATTAAGATCGTGCACCGATATTTGCCACGAGAGGTAGGGGAGTTGTTAGTATATTATTTGTGGTTAGTGTTGCCGTTTTGGGAGAAGTTATAGTTCTAGGTGACGGGGAAACCAAGTAGTAGTCTATTTTTGTGGGGAAATAGTCAGAAGAAAGAGCACCGGCAGTGGACAAGGCCAAAGCGACGACAACAGGCGGCTAGAAGAGCAGATGATATTTCTCAGGAATGGGAAGGTGGCCAGCAAGAAGAAGACTCCGTTGAATAAAGTTAAGAAGAAGACTCCGTTGAACAATCGAGCAGCTAAGACCATATGTTAGTCCAGCGACGATCCCGCATATGGACGTCAGAGAGAGCACGGAGCATTTTAAAGCAGGCGGCCGTACGGTAGATGGGGGTTAATGGGTTTAATATTAGTAGTTACCGTCAAATTGCGATTGCTATATCACGCCGGTATTGTCGAGAAGACTAATTTGAGGAGGAGAAGGGCAAGTTGGATGAGAGCGAGGGATGGGATGAAGACAATCCAGATGGGGACGATCTATGGGATTTACAAGCCGGTCACAGGACCCATGTTGCAGGCATGATTTACGCTAGGGAGTTAATGGAAGGAGACAATTCTATTATTAGCTAGTGTGAGAAATTCCGGCGAGTTAGCCATGTGTGGCATTGTTTTTTGGGGTTTCCGTTAGCACATCAAGGAGTTGGGATGAGTGGGAGAGCTAAGAGGAAGCGGCAGGTGTATGAGGAAGAGATGCAAGACGCGCAGTTAGCTCGGTGGAAGCGACTGCGAGGAGTTGACATCCATACCGAGTTGGAGAAGATGTTAGGGAGTGAGGCCCGGTTCCGTGGATTGCAGGAGCCCGTATTGCAAGCCATCATAAAGCACTAGAGCCCCATTGTGGCAGTAATGGGAACAAGGGTTGGGAAGACGTTGTTGTTCTAGTTGCTAGCCAAGAGTATGAGTTCCGGGACGACGGTAGTCATTAGCCCATTGGTTTCATTACAGGACCATATAGTCGAGAGATGTCAGCAAGCCGGCATTTCGTGCGTTAAGTGGGACGCCCGACAGTGCCATTCCCCCAGCCAGATTGTTATCGTCACGCTAGAGTCAGCAGTCAGCAAGACGTTTGGGACGTTTTTGGACCGGTTACAAGGATTGCATTTGTTAGAGCGGTTTGTTTTTAACGAGTGTTATACGCCATTAGATAGCACGGCCGAGTTCCGGCCTAGGATGCGGCAATTGGGCGAGTTAGTGGAAAGAGGGGTGCAAATGGTATATTTGACGGCAATGTTGCCACCACATGCCGAGCCAGAGTTTATGAATATTGTGAGGATCAAAGCCGACGATGTTCACATGTTCCGGTCCCCCACCAGCCGTCCGAACATTACGTATTCCGTGGTTGAGTACGAGGAGGACGAGTTTGGGAGAGGAGATATTGCAGCGGTTCGCAAGTTAGTGGAGCAGAAGTTAGAAGAGTACGCCGCACTAGCAAAGATCATTATATACAGCAGTAGTATTGTCACTACCTAGGAGGTGAGTAGTGCATTGGATTACTATGCATATTACCGAGATGTAAGTGATGCAGCCGTTAAAGACGAGATCCGGAAGGCGTGGGAGAGTGCAAATGGACGGGTTGTCGTTGCCACTAATGCATTTGGATTAGGCATTAACCGGCTAGATGTTCGTATTGTCGTTCACATTGGGCCCATTTACTAGATGCGGAATTACAGTTAGGAGAGTGGACGAGCCGGGCGGGATGGGAAGAGGAGTGAAGCTATCATTTTGATGCCCGTTGGAAGACAAGAGGCATTGCAAAAGGCACATGAGCAAGCATAGCGGCGGCCAGCTAAGTTTCACATTTCCATAACGGCAAAGGAGAAGCAATAGATCGAGCAGCAGAAGGTTGAGCGATTTGTGAGCGGTGCCGCGTGTCGACGGGTTTATTTGGACCGAGAAATGGATGGGAGGATGGATCGAGTGAAGTGTGAAGACGAGGAGGAGCGTTGTGATGTGTGCCGAGAGAGTGATGCCATAATGGACGAATTGGAAGCTTAGCGGCGAGCATGCATCCAACGAGAGCAAGAGAAGCAAGACCGGTTGATGGATAGCGCCATTGATATACTAACTAGTAGTATTCCATTTCCCGAGGTTCTTAGCGATGGAGTTAATAGTAGTAATGGTCCATTTCCTAGTTCGCCCCCAGAATATTCCTAGAGTAGTACCGTGAGTTTTGACTAGGGGTTTATGGCAGACCGGATTAGTCAAGGAGAACGTATTATATTCTAGTCCTAGTAAAGCCAGTGGTAATAGCAGCGGGTTCAGGCCCAGGCACGGAATTAGCAAGCAGGTTGCGAGGTATGGGATTTGGAGAATCGTTTAGACTAGTAGGTTGGGAAGTGCCCATTGTGTTACGTCCGGAGGTGTACGGGGAGTCTAGTTGATTTCCGGCATACGTTGGACAAGTGCGTGGATCTAGAGCAGGAATTGGTTCGCACGGAAGTGCAAGCATTACAATAGATCTAATTCCAGGAGTATGCAAGTTGTTATGATTGCGGCGTTACACAGCAGGTTTGTACTAGGTGGGAAGAGATCCGGGAGGGGAACCGGAAGTTTGAACGGATTAAAGGGGGGGTATGTCAATATGAGGGGATCGTACGGCCAGTGGTGGCAGCCATTATGGTGGCAGGGCCATTAGAGGTCGTCAATCAAGAGGTTTGGTCATATATGCGGGCCGAAGGCATTTGGGGAGCTAATGAGAAGTTAGAGGCAAGTGAGGAAGCCGAAGTCAAGAGAAAGTTATTAGTATGGTTTGGCTAGAGGGTGATTTGGGGGTTAGTAGAAGCAAGTGTTTTATTACAGGCGTTTTACCGGTTAATAGTTGGGTTAGAGGAGTGGAAAAAGAGGAATAGAATAGGTATATAGAGGAGACAATTAAAATCAAGGGGTTTTTTAAGAAAGGAGAAGGCGTATTAGGT